CCTTCATAGGGCACCGAAACAACCGCCTTTATCCATGTTTATCCTGGATATATCATTGTCTTTCGGTGACGTTGTTAGCATCAAGTAGCACATAACCTAACGCCAATGCTGCCATTACGTACGTGAAGCAGTCACTTTGAACTGTTAGATAGTCAGTGGGCTATCCAAGTGTCAGTGTCTGCTACTTATTTGGAGCACAATATCCTAGAAATTACCAACAGATATCCTCCAGGAAATTACCGTAGCTATGGGAAAACCACCAATTTCAAAATTATGTTTTTGGGGAAATCAAAAAGGGTTTCCGCCCCTGTCTGCCGGAGCGTAATCCAGTACATGGAAAATCTTAGATACTCTGCAAAAGTTAAACCCTTGACTGACTGAGCCCCCTAAAAAACAAGTACTGTTTCCCGATTGATATCCATTTATGGCAAAAATCAAAGTCTTGAACTGGCTGAATTGTGCTAAGTCACTGTAAGATACATAAAAGATACATATGAAAGATACATATATAAGATACATATAAAAGATACATATATAAGATACTATAATTAAGTCACTAAAAGATACTATAAATATGTATAATATGTCCAGCTGTTGGGATGTTATCTCCAATCCTAACCATCCCGACGTCACCGCCGTCCTTGTCGAGGACTCTGAAGATTTCGACCATCGCGGGCAACGCGCCTTTCACCTCGGATCTCCAGGACGAATTCGACGGACATCGGGATACATTGGGATTTTATGGTGGTTTAATGGGATGTAATGGTGGTTTAATGGGATTTTATGGGGTTTTAATGGGATTTTATGGGGTTTAATGGGATTTTATGGTGGTTTAATGGGATTTAATATGATATAGCCTCTGGTAAACAAACAGTTTGCTATTGAAAATGGCCATAGAAATAGTTGATTTACCCATGAATAGCATGGTGATTTTCCATAGTTATGTTACTGTTAGTTTACCAAAGGGTAAGGCACTATGCAACGTACTGGAGAATACCGTGGTGTAAGATCCGAAGCCACTTTCATCCGGCCTGGCCTTGTTCTTCAGCTGGAGCCTTTCCAATTCTTTCTCCTGCTCCGCATTTTCCAAAGCATTTTCCACCTGAAGGCACTTGGAAATCCCAACGTAAACTTAGTAAACTTGGCTTGTGATTGTTCGTAATATCCATTTGGGACGTTTTTGTCATCGGGATTCCGAAGATTGATTCCTGTGGGTACGGAAATGAACAGGTAGCTGTGGGGCTGTGGGTAGCTCATTGGATGTGCTGGTCATGTTGGGCCAAAATTGGGACAGGATGCTTTTCCGAGGTTTTGGATGTTTTGTGCAATCTGTTCCCAGTATTTCCCAGTTATCCAGGTTAGAGAGTCGCAAAACCGAAGGTTTGCTCAAGTTTCGACAAAACTGACGAAAAAATCGACCTTAGGACCTTGCTTGAGCCACCAGAAAAAGACATGTCCAGGAGTCCAGGCCACTTTTTTTTTCCCCCTAAAAGTCATGAGGGGTCACCAAATCACCATTTGCTTCACCGGTTCCGTTGAAGTCATGGCCATCCACGACGACTAAAAATGGTGGCCCTTTGGGTACCCGGTACATGGGAAATTCCATGGAAATGACTGTCATCCCATCCTTTTATCAAAGAATTGATGATTGACTTTGTTATCAACTGTGACTATAATACTTATCATTGACTCATCATAGTGTTGTAACAAATCTGAATGTTTCTTTGAATCTGAATGCCATCTCTTCACGTCTTTTGTGCTGATCTAACCACCATTTCGCTTGCAAAAGTCACCTTCTTTCTTGATGAAACCATCCTTCTAACCAAATAAACCTGGGATTTTACGACCCTCCCTACCTACCCACCTACCCCATGTCATGTGTCTACCAACTAATTCATCAATCCCAGGTTGCAAAATTCCATCCTCACATCGCAGGCTAAGACACCAGCACCGCAGTGACCAAGTTCATCAAACCTCAGAGCGAAGCATCACTTGTCCACTGAATTTCAGCGAAAAAAAAATCCCTTCAATTCCCTCAAATCCCCCGAAAAAATCCCATTAACTTCCATAAAACCCCCTTATATAAATGTGAAGAAATCAGAAAAATCACTTTTTTTAACAACCCACCATAAATTCAACAAAAATCCCCGTGCTTAGTGCCAGCTTTCGTTCCGAGCATCCGTTGGAGACCACCAAGCCTATGGGCACAAAGAAAAAGACCAATTCCGGCTTTGCTTGCATCAGCCTGGACGAAACAAGCGAATCGCCAGGTTTTTTCGGGAGGATTTATGGGAGGATTTACCACAAAAAAAATCTGGAAAAAAAAACAGAGAGGATTTATGAACCTTGAAGATTCAGATGTCAGATAGTTCATGAGGAAATTAGGATTCACGGATTTATGGATGTTTATTCATATAGTTGGAAAACAACATAGCCCAGCGCTTCCAAAGGATAGGTTAACTGAGTCCGTTATCACAAAGGACAGGTTTGACTAAAAGGCTACAATTTACCCATGTTACAGGAAATTATGGGAAACATCCAGTTCTGCATATGTTCGCCGGCTCTTCACGGCCTTTTCACTCACTTTTCACGGGTTTTGGTGTTTTGACTGGGTGAGTGTCCGATGTGTCCGTTGAAGTTCTGGGTAGCTAAAGTTTTAACGGGGGATTTACCATGATTTACCCAACAATGTTTATAAATTCTATAATACTTGATTTATGTTAGCTAAGTTAGTTTGTAACATTATTAACTACGGTTCATGGATGATATAAGATAATATCTCTATGGTTAATGGGGTCTTCAAACCGAAGTTGTGCTTGGATAGTTGATGGAAAATTAGAGGAAACCACAGCAAACATGAGATAGTCATCGGAAAAAAATATTTTCCATTGCGACCGTTTAAATTTACCCTCTGGTAATGACTAACAGTTTGCGACAACATGGACAATGACCATAAATACAATAGGATATATATAATAGGTAAATCATCAAAGTAAAGGGCCATGGATCCATTCTTCCCATCTTCCCCATCCAAAGTTCATGACTTTCAATATTCATTGGAATGGTTTCTGAGGAAAAATCTGAACCCTTGTTTTTTTTTTGAAACGATGGGTTTTACATGGTTTTACCATTGTTCCCCACCTGCCAAGTGAGGGTTGTTAGATTTTATGTCAGTTGCCTCCTCCTGCCTCCTGCCTCGTCCTCCTCCTCCTCCTCCTCTCCTCCTCGTCCTCCTCGTCCTCCTTGTCATCCTTGTCGTCCTTGTCGTCCTCGTCGTCCTCGTCGTCCTCGTCGTCCTTGTCCAACTGCGACCCGCGATCCACAGTGTTCTCTGCCGGACCTCAACCACGACCATCCACGCCCAGTGTTCCCTGCCGGACCTCAACCACGACCATCCACGCCCAGTGTTCCCTGCCGGACCTCAACCGCGAGTATCCCCGCCCAGTGTTCCCTGCCGGACCTCAACCACGACCATCCACGCCCAGTGTTCCCTGCCGGACCTCAACCGCGAGTATCCACGCCAAGTGTTCCCTGCCGGACCTCATGTAGGAAGATATGGGACAAAGAATGTGCAGAAGAAAGTTAGAAAGAATGTCAGAAAGAATGTGCCAGAAGATATGCCAGAAGATATAGAATGCCAGATAGAATGCCAGAAGATATGTCAGAATATATGCCAGAAGATATGCCAGATAGAATGCCAGATAATATGCCAGAAGATATGCCAGATAGAATGCCAGAAGATTTGCCAGATAGAATGCCAGAAAATATGCCAGAAGATATGCCAGATAGATATGCCAGAAGATATGCCAGAAGAAATGCCAGAAGATATGCCAGAAGATATGTCAGAATATATGCCAGAAGATATGTCAGATAGAATGCCAGAAGATATGTCAGAATATATGCCAGAAGATATGCCAGATAGAATGCCAGAAGATATGTCAGATAGAGTGCCAGAAGATTTGCCAGATAGAATGCCAGAAGATATGCCAGAAGATATGCCAGATCATATGCCAGAAGATATGCCAGATAGAATGCCAAATAGAATGTCAGAAGATATGTCAGATAGAATGCCAGAAGATTTGCCAGTAAGAAAATGTATAAATGTCATGGTGGGGATCACACGAAGTAAAGTAATTTTATATAAATGTTTTTTATATAATCATCAAATATAGCGGGTTCCATGGGTAAAACCATGGTGTTACCATGTTTTTTCTCCAAATCGCTGGGGTTTTCTTTGGAAATTCGGAAATTCGCCGATGTTTTGTCATTGGCTGTGGCTGAAAAGCTACATGACACAACCATCCTGATAGTATCATGCAGTTTTCTTGGTGATGAGATTCAAAATTCTCCAGGTCTTAGCGCTGTCATAAAACACTAAACGCCATGCCCTTCCCAATGTTAGATTCAAAATAAAAGCTACGTCTACTATGCAGCCACTCCAATACGATTTACGACGAATGGGCATGTTGCATAGCTTTGTCAAATTACTAGAAGGTAACATTTATAAAATCATTGGAATATCTATGTTGAATTTGGTTTTACATTTTTTTTGCTCAATGTTCATCGGAAGATCGAATATGTTGTTACGATAATATGGTTTAAGTCACTTTTTGCGTTCAAACATATTGAACTATTAGAATAATCTCAAGGGGTTATCACTGGGTTACAACATTTTCAACAACATACGTAATAACCAAAAATTGAAACAATACAGTGAAATGAATGCAATATCCTCAATTTGATTAAAATGGCATACAAACGTTTATATATATATACATATACGTAATATAAAATGTTTTTCAAAAAACAATAAATAAATCAATAAATAATATAAATAAAAAAACAAAAATATTGTAAAGAAGAAGTATAGCACAGGTTATGAACCAATATTGTTCCCACTTACGAAGGGAAACCATTTTTTGACAACAACAAATATACCCTCTGGTTATTTAACATAGCCATGGTATAGATGGCCCATAGAAATAGATGGTTTGCCGAACTTAAAAATGGGTGGATTTTCCATGGCAAACTGTTAGTCAGAACCAGATGGTAAGGCCGCTTTAAGCCATCGGTTTTTGAGCGCCATCTTCCCAGCCGAGGTGTGGAAAGTAGACTGCAGCGATGGAATCCAGGGTGACCTTTCCAGGACGTTTCCCCATTGAAAAAGGGGTCATCCTTTTCGGGAAAACATGGGACGTTTCCACCTGGCAAACACCCATGTGGAAACCCGGTGGAAAATGTTTTATTTGATCCTGAAAATCATGAAAACTTGGATATAACATTGGACAAATAGCAGTAACCATCACTGACCAGGGCATCTAAATAGGATGAGCCCTCAAAACTCAGAAACTTCTGGAAACCAAAATAAAACAAGGAAAACATCCAGAATTTCCAGAGCTCCATATCTACAGCAACATGGCTCGAGATTCCATCTCCATAACGTTTGCATCGTGCCACCCCTTTGCCACCAGCAGGTCAGTGAGTCACTACTTTTTGAAGTGAAAAATCACAGGCGGTTGCCAAAATATCAAAACATATCAAAAGCATCAATCTCATCCAGTCTCCGAAAAAATTGGGGCTTTAATTACATGGTTTGAAAAATCTGCGTGCATTTTGGGGTTGTTTTCATCTCCGAAGAGATTTCAAGGGACGCTATGCCGGCTATGGCATTGTGGCGGCATCACCTTCGCCGTGGCCAAGGGGCGAATTGGACCAAAGTCAGAATGGGCGTGGGTAGGCTGGCGAAATGAATTTCCTCGGTTATAGCGGCTTGATATGGCTTGACTCGGGACGAAACCGGAAACCATTCGATTCTGAGATTCAACCACTGGGAAAACTAAAAACATGTTGAAACTGAGACATTACAGAAATGAAATTGTTGGGAGTTGTTTAATAAAGTGGGGAAATTAAAAATTGAAACTGTGTGTCTGTGGGAACCTGGTCCTTGTTCAAACTTGTATTTCAGAAACCCTTTCTTGGAGAACTTGTTGTTTCATGACCGTGTCTCGTTATGTTTATTTGTAAAATTGTGAAAACGTATTGGGGTACTCTCTGTATCTATATGTACTGTATATCTACATATACATGAGCGTGTGCATTTCTATAATTTATATGCCATCTCAAAGCCTAAAAACTTAGCTCCGTAGGGATGCCTGAGTCGATGTTTCTAAAGATATGGAAGCCATGGATACCATGGTCCATTTGTAGATGATTTATGATGACTTATACCTCTTAAATAGGGTGGATTTCTCGTAGTCGTCAAATTAGCAGCGTGCAATTCTCACATTTAAAATTTATATCTTTGGGTGGTTTTCCTTACATTCTTTACGCTGACGTCGTTGTGAGATTCAAACAACACGTGTCAAAATTGGATACCTGAACAAGGATGGTTGAACTAAAACCTGTGCTTTGCCGAGTCTTGAAATCTGACGATAATGTGGTAAGCTCAACAATAACTTACGAAAAATTAAAAAAAAAAAAGGTGGTAAGTTGTTGACTTTCAATGGTTGGCTTAGACTTCGGCAATCAAACGTGGCAACGGAAAACCCATCATTTCGATGACTTTCTTAGCGAACTAGAACTAGAACTCCATTTGCTTCGGGGACTTTAGTGCCAGCTTAGTGTCACGGTTGATTATCAGAGGGTAATATCAATCATATACCTCAATGGAGATTCTTATCCCATGACATCACCTATTAACATTAAAATAACCACCACTCATCCCCCAATTACTTCGATAATCTTCCCATTAAAACCGTATTTAAAACCTCTATTCACAGAGATTTCCCCATCATTGTCCCATGAAAAAACCTCCAATTTATGTCGGAGATCCCATGATGAAATTTTTACCCAGCTGCAACGATGGGGCCGGTGATCGGATTCATCTTGAGATCGCTATCCTGCAGGGTCAACGTTTACATCGATGAAAATCGACGTGGAAAAATGATGAAACACATGTGGAAAATCCAGCATTGCAAGATCATGTTCTTCATAAACCATGCTGTTTTTTCCACATCTCTATATGTTAATTAGTTTGCCCCTAGCAATGGCATCGGAAAATTTGAAACCAAATTTAGGATATAATTGTTTTACATGTTTCCCGTGTTTGATGTGATTTCGCTATGCAAAACATCAATATAATTGCTATTCATCTGCTGGTGCCCTAAAAATCACAGAAACCCTCAATCCCAATCTGAATGTCACCCACAGTAAAAGTCCATATTAAATCCAAAGAAATGTTATTGGGTATAAACTCCTATTTACACTCCATTTCTGCTGCCTTTTATTTTTGTTAATCATGTATTCATTGCGGTTTAAAAGAAACTGCTTGTCCGACTTGTCCGTCCTTGGTGATGAGTTCCACTGCAATCACACCACTGATGAAGAGTGCCAGCAGCCTGGGTTCAGCGGCACCGTAATGGGCACGGAACGAGACGAACAGCACCCTCATGCTCGGAAGATCAAAAGGGGTATTATCTATCTATCTGTCTGTCTATCTATCTGTCTATCTATCGATCGATCTATCTATCTATATGTCCCACCCCAGTTAAACTTTACATTCCTTTGGGAAGAGGAAGAAGGGTAACTATTAGGAATGTAAATTTCCACCCCCTATGATGATGATGATGATGATGATTATGATGATGATGATGGTGATGATGATGATGATGATGATTATGATGATGATGATTATGATGATGATGATGATGATGATGGTGGTGGTGGTCGTGGTGGTGTTATCTGTTGATGCTGCTAGATGTTTGAGGATGAAGTTGACCATGATGATGCTGTTGTTGATGATGAGGATGAGGATGTCAAAGATAATTGTGATGAAGGTGATTATGAAAGTGATGGTGATGAAGGTGATGAAGGTGATGAAGAAGAAGATGAAGAAGACGAAGAAAAAGAAGAAGAAGAAGAAGAAGGAAGAAGAAGAAGAAGAAGAAGTGTAAGACAGCACCACGGGTCCTATGCTATGCGTTCCGCCAAAAAGAACATGACAATGCAAAATTGCCCCATGTTTGCCATGTTTCCCATGGAAAACTGAAACCAACATCGCCAATGGCCAAGCAGAATTGCTGTCCATTCCTCCGCCCTTGAGCGCCTGTAAAGGCTTGAAATATGGTGAAATCTCAGATGGCTTAACCATCTTACCCTCTGGTAAACTAACATAACTATGGAAAATCACCATTTTTTATGGGTAAATCCACTATAAATGGCAATTTTCCATAGCTTTTTGTATGTTTACCAGAGGGTAACCGTGTAACCATCTTGACATATCTCAACCTTGCTGGGTCACATGTCATGAAAACCGTTCTTCCAAGGATCCCTGGAACCACGGTGAAACCACCGAGCCACAAGAGCACTGAGGTTGATAGCATGGTGCCACCAGCTGTCAGCAAACTATACACCAAGCGCCACATCACCTGCATCAATGGGACGAAGGGGGGCTAGACGGCTAGGCCATGAACAGCTGAGACATGAACAGCTGGGCCCTGGAAATGTCTCAGGTAAACATCGTTACTTGGTGTGTCGCCTCAAAAAAGAAGGGAAAACCCCCAAAATTGATGAGTTATCACCATTTTTATCCACTTGCCGCACTAAAATTGTCATAAGTGGAGATATACCTTAGTTTCAGCAACCCAGACTAGGGCATCGATCGCTATATCGATCTGGCACCTTTTAGATTCAGATTTGTCAGGCTCGATTCACCATGCTGTCTGGCATTTCCTGGATGATCACAGCCAGAAAATCCCATTCCCCAAACAACAAACAAACAATCTTGGAAGACATAAGGCAATCAATCTTCTTCCAAATCTAATGCTACCAAAATTCTTCACCCCCAGCATCCTCTCATGTCAAACCCGGATCGATAAACTATCCCTATATATTACCCCCCCAAAAAAAGAAGCATCGAAATGACTGTTTTTTTTCGTTTTCCCCACTAGTAAGCATTCCCAAACCCATGACGGATCCATGTATATAGTATATTAATGCTAACATGACTGGGGTATATTGATGGGATCCATGGCACACCAAATATAGCAGCACCGTTAGGATCCCGGTGCATCACCCCTATCAGGGGCCTTGAAGTAGCTGATCATCCGCAAGGCCCGGACCAAACGTAGCAAGCGCAGGCCCCGCATGATGAGCCTTGGCGCGCTGCGAAACGGCGCGTTGCGCCGAACCGGAAACGGGACATGATTAATGAGGATTATAGTGGGAAATCTATTGCGATCAGTAGACAGATCAGCCAGAATGGGATTCTCTGGATTTTCTCATTGATGGAATAAGTATGCCGAATCTATAAACAATCACGATGTACATCCATGTTCAGAAGCCATGCTCTTCTTGATTGGATAACGGAGGTTACCCCCCAAAGAAGTGATGATTTAATAACTCCTAAAAGCGCCGCTACCCAATTCGACAGCCCGGTGGTTACGGGTTTACTAATCTAGGGTTGACATTAATAATACATTATAGTCACTGGTTTAGCTTAGCGTTCCTTCCTCCAGAGGGGTAAGGGATCCTGTAGATACTCCCTTCAACAAATTCTGGGATACTGTCATAAAGCGATCATTCTGCTAGCAATATTGTTGAACCGCATATACAAATAGAATCAAATAGACCCAACATATTGCTTTGATGATCACCAGTACCATCAACCCAGGATGAACATTATCATGATGCACATGGTTTTGGGCGAAAAGAATTCAAAACCCTGGTGTATTCTGATACCCGTTGTTCACTCTACAAAACAAATGGTACATCAGTACATCCCGTAAATAATATGGTATTTCGATGGTTTTGACCAATGCCTGAAGAATATCTCAAGTTGCCATTGGCAGCTACATGGTTTGCATGGCTGTGGCATCCATGAATGAGTTGTAACATATTGTAAAAATGTTTCCACCAACAAATCTGCAAGGTTCAACGATTTGCTTCTGCCAACAAAAAACATTTCAATGCGTTGTTTTTGCAAATTTCTTCCCGAAACAGTGTACCCTCTGGGTTTCACAATCAAACATGGCAATGGAAATTTTCCCCCATGGCTGATGACGCTGGAGAGTATCTCCATATCGTAGTGTTGCGACTCTGTACAGCATATTCCGTCGTATATCCCCATCATATTCCCAGTATACCCTCTGGTAAACTAACATAACTATGGCTAACTATGGAAAATCACCATGTTTAATGGGTAAATCCACTATAAATCACCATGTTCAATAGCTATGTTAAATTACCAGAGGGTAGCCCTATTACTTTACTCATCTTTAATCCCATGATTGGTGATTCAAGCCATCCATTCGAATCCCCATTTCCATTGCTATCCTTTACTGTAATACCATCAGGAACCCCCCACCATCATCCCGTGTATCCATATGCCTTGATCGGATCCCTATTTGATGGTCCGTTCTTTTCTCCAATTGTTGCTTAATTCCCACAGGTATATAGCACCCCCTCCCAAAACAAAAGTTAGAAAGGTGCTTTCAAGATTGTAGTTCGATGGTTCGATGGTATTTCCCTTCTCATTTCCAAGATTTCCCGACTATTTCCAAGGTATTTCCAGGGTATACTGGTTGGTGGTGCAATAACCGTCTTAAAAAATATGAGTTCGTCAATGGGAAGGGTGACATCCCATATATGAAATGGAAAATAAAATTCATGTTTGAAACCACCAACCAGATATCTCATTAACCATTTTTAACCACTATTAACCATTATTAACCAGTTGCCTCTTTCCCCTCAATGTGATCATTCGAAAAAAGCGTTTCGTCTGGGCACAAGCTCTCCATCCCACCGAAGTCCTGTTGGGCGATGGAACCCAACGTTGGAGCCTTGCGTCGCCCAAGGATTGCTGGCATGGGAAAAGCGGTGATAAAACCATGGTGCAGCAGTTATAATCTGGAATCTCCACGGTTTTCCTACTATCTTTCCATATACATTGGGATTTTAATGGAATTCAATCGGATTTTATGGTGGTTTAATGGGATTTAATATGATTACCCTCCGGCAATGGCTAACATAGCGAACTAGAAAATCCACCCATTTTTAATAGGTAAACCATCTATTTCTATGGGCCATTTTCCATAGCTATGTTAGTTTACCAGAGCGTAATTTGTATAACTGTATAACATGTATATATACAGTTATAATACGGTGGATGGTTGCGAAATCCTGCACCAGTTGATAGGTGGTAAACATCCCATTATTGATAGGGTTTCAACCATCCGTTTGGTGATGCAGGATTTCTTCCATCCACAGTATGTAAGTGTATGTATATATATATATATGTATATATGTATATATATACACAAACAAATTGCAAAGATATGTGTGTGTATTTTGTAGTTTTCATCTACTATCATAAGATTACAAACGTCGCGTTTGATAATTCTATATAATTGTTGAACGGCAAAACTATGTAAAACTCTTCAGTCACGCAACTCAGTGGGATGAAGCCAAACATTGGAATATCACTAATCCTTAAAATTTTGCCCTGGGTCCGGGTGGCATAATTTTATACAGAGGGGGATCCAACAACTATACAGGAAGACTCACCTTCGGCAAAACTGTATGAACTTTGCGAAGCACATCACTGTTCTCACCGTGTATGTTTGTTTAACTTGACATTTCCAGAGATAGGTTCTGCAAAAAAACGCATGGCTATGAAAAACCAACATTTTAATCAGGATCTACCATCGAACTAAATGGTCAACCCATACATCTCTAAATCATAGCACACCGTTAATTAAAAAAATCATTGGAGTAAATCCCATGGAAATCCCAATTCTTTGGTCCAAATCCCATTAAAATCACCAAAATCCCATCCAAAATTGGTAAAAAAAACATGGCACAAAACTCATCAGCTTCGCTTCAAACCGAGCTGCGATGACCAAAGCCACCACGCCCACCTGCAACGATCTGTCGGCTTTCCCAGGGACCGTCAGACCCTCAAATTGCTGAGTTTCTCTGTCGGACTGCTGGTTTCGTTGGGGAGTGATCCCATCTGACACCCTTTGTAGGGTCTTAACCATCCTGAAATGGAAGTTTGTAGCCCACATAAGTATCAACATACCACCAATAAGGGCTCAGACATGAAGACAGTCAATTCTAAACCAAGGTATATGGGGTCGTCAAAAAATGGGTTTAGGCCCGTAGCAGGATTGTTTTTTTCGAAGTGTTTTGGGGTGAGATTTCACCAGCAAACATGTGGATTTTAGCAGTTTTCTGGTCGAATGGAATCAAGAAAAAGAGGAATATGGAAAGTGGTTTAGCTAGACAGAAAGAAGAGTTCGAACCAGCAATGCTGCGGGGATCATGGGTATTGTTTAAGAAGCAACAGCTACCCAGCAGGAACATGGATAAATTTTGGCAAGTGGAGGTTTCACGGTTGTCATCATTGTCGCCAAAAGAGTCTGATACAACCAATGAGGAGCCCCCAGCAAAGATACATGCTATACATATCTCGCGGTCTAACTGATGTGGTAATGTGGTAAACACAAAAATACTTTTTAAACCATCCCAGTAAGAAATAAATAGTAGTCCATTGGAAGGAGTCCTTGATGGTCCTTTTTTGAATCATCCGCTAGGAGCCCTTTTCCAAATTCAAACACCCAAATGGCGATTTGCAGAAACCACCTGGCCACCGGGTGGAATATCAAACGGATTATGGACATTTGGGAATGAGGACTCTCGTGCGAAACCATTGTGAAGTTGTCCATCTAGGGCCATAACTACCAGTGCTTGTTGAACGAACCTCTATTCAAAGGATCCTGCGAGGTACTATTTGGGGTAGGCAGGGATGTAACATCCACACAACTTATACTTTGCAGGTGCTCCCCATCGCTCTGGGCACCACCCTTGGATGCATCATTCCAGAAAGGCTCACGCTTAAGGGGGAAGGGCTATCAATGGTGGTTTGCTCGATCTTTGCTGCATTTGTTGGTTCATCTTGACTAAACCCTAATGATACCAAATTACTATAGTAATGTTGAGGTCAAGCATAGTAACTATGAAGGTCAAACATAGCAGAATACCAAACATCTCCCCACGGTGCCAAGTTGAGGTTCTTGGGACTGGGCCGTAATCTCCCCTAAAACAATAACAAAACATCCACAGAACCGGTGTAACATGTATAAAGACATCACGTGTATATACAAATTTATATATATTTATATTATATATATAACTATGTAAATGTGAAGTTAAACGTCATTAAATGTCATAATTGTCCTAGATCCTACGTCACATTTGACTAATTGCTCCAAATGCCTTCCGAAAAGGTATGTGAACCCCAAAAACCAGCCCCAAAATTAACCAATATATTCAATATATCATGATTTACCGTACCTATTTTTTCCATGGTGAATTTTAGCTATGTTAAATTTATTAAATGTGGAGGATAATACATAATCTGGTTGGTGGTATACCTACTCCTCTGAAAAATAGTGATTAGTAAGTTGGGATGATTATTCCATTCCCCATTAATATGGAAAATAATCCAGCCATGTTCCAGTCAGCACCAACCAGTTGGCTTATCGACAGACCGAACCAAGGAACAGCCACGAGAATGAAATCCAGCAGCCACCAAGGGTCACCTCAACAGATCCCGATCTACGTGAGCAAAGAATTTTTTTCATCTGTGACATCTCGACATCTTGGGGCTGACTTTTCAACCATCGTTTTTTTTAAAACACCGAATATCATCTCTATGACATCTTGGGCTTTGGACTTGAAAAGAAAATGTTTGTTTAAAAACATCACCTGCCGGCAATGATTGTTGTCGTTCTTGTGAATTTTTTAATGCACAGTTAACTAGTGTGTGTGGAAAACACCTTGGTGGCATTTTGTGACAGAAACACATTTCTATGTTTGACAATCTTTAACATTTTCCGCGTGATAAAGTGGCACAACTGATGGTTATAGTTATAAAGTTATAAATTTGGATCAATTTGGATCTATATACCTTCTCGTAGTCAAACATTGCAATGGATTCAATGGACATTTATGGTTGATTTTCCCCATCAAAACTCCATTTAAAGGTGGCAATGGACATTTATCGTTGATTTTCCCATTAAAAAACTCCATAAAATCTCCATTACTGTGTTGGATTGCCGGAGGGCAGTCAGGCCGGCCCAGTCATCATTTTCCCCATTGTGTAATAGCCATAAGTAGCAGGTAGCCAATCTAAGACCAACATAGACAAAACTCCACTCTCTACTTGGTCCGCTTTCATTTTCCTCTCCAAACTATGTGGTTACCCTCTGGTAAATTAACATAAACCCTGAAAATAACCCATTTTGATGGAAACTAATCTTCCAACCCCTATCTGCAAGGGTCTATGTCAATCTAATTTAATGGAAGGTAAATTTTAGAATCTTCGCTCCAACCGGCTCCCAAAGTAAGGGATATATGGATCCCAGCACCGACTCACGCGCCGGGGCGCGAATCGAGGCTCGCCCGCCGGCAATGAAACGCACCACTAATTCCTCCAGAAAACTCATGTGACTGGCTCCCAAAGGTCGGGATGGGGGGTGGATTTTCCATCGTTTTTCGTTAACGTTTACCAGGCCGGGTAGTTGGAAAATGGGCTGTGCCATGGCAAGTCGAAGTGGGTGATGGAAAATGTTGATGGGTAAATAACCACTTCATGGGTATGACCCAATATGATAATAAACAAATATCAACGAATAAACATGAAAACGGAAATAACATGGGATATAACCAGTCAATATACCCTCTGGTTATTTAACATAGCCATGGTATAGATGGCCCATAGAAATAGATGGTTTACCTATTAATAGCATGGGTGGATCTTTCCATGGCAGACTCTTAGTCATAACCAGATGGTAATGGTTTGGCCATATGATATCCTAAACGACAATAAACTACATCTGTTTGTTGATGGGAAAACTGTGGAGATTCCATTAAGTAATGGTTGCTAGTTTGTTGATCCTCTCCTAATTTGGTTTGATTTTTCGTGAATGATCGGCTGATGTGAGATAAGATCCATCTAACCCCGAAAACGCAACACAAATCCACTTGTGTGATGTGGTGTATTTCTACAACCCATCTAGATATATCTTACTTGTGTTGATTTATACTTATGTTGACATTCCATCTGCCTGGGGAGGAAAAGCACATCTGGATAAAACCAAGCCCTGCACTGCTGCACCACGTCCACCGCGACCGTCAAAGTTACATAACTTAGCCCGACAGCCATGACATGCATATATTTAGTAAATAGATGTATATATGATTCAGACATGTGCCTGTGTGTGTTTCTCAATTTTTGTCTCAGAAAATGTGACATTAGTGAAACAGTGAAACATATATGAACACACATAAAACTTTTATGCATGTATATGCATACAATGCGTTACATACATTATATCCAAAAACAAACATGAAGAAAACGCCGCTTGCGCGGCGCGTCCAGCGTGTAGATCGCCAGAAAGACACGCTCCAAATTTGTGAAGATCATCACCCCCTCGGCCGAGCGCCTCAAGCCACGATGGGAGCTGGATCTATTCACTTACCGAAAGTATTAGTATCAACTTCAATCATGGTGATTAATGATGGTTCATGATGGTTAATGATGTTTAATGGTGATTAATGGTAATGTGGGTAAAACAATGCCATAAAGCACCCATGACTGGGAATGGTAAATGTAACGGAGTACAGGCAGTAGCAGTCAGTATTGGGCTCTCCTTTTCTCTAGCGCGTAGCTTGAGTTCACAAGGGTGAAAAGAGGGCTGCAGGTCAGTCTATTTTGAGCTTGACCCTGCTGCACCATTGGCACAGCGTCCATTCCTCGACCTTCTTGGTCTTCTTGAGGTAATGGCACCCCTTGTCCAGGTGAAGGACCACAGACATTGGCCCTTTGTAGAAGATCAGCTTTGGAGATCTCACCCGTCTCCACCACCAGACAAGCATCGTCATGAGGCACCCGGCCAATAATCCGATCAGGAAAACGGCGCTGGCCATCATGATCAGCAGAGAACTTTCTTCTGATGTCTCTGATTCTGTCTCCAGTCCGCTCGCTTGCTGGACTTGGAGCCATCCAACAAGGGTAGCAAGAGCTTGTCCGACTTGCTCCTTGCTGGGTCCGGCATTTTGTGCCAGGACATTTACCACTTGTTGGATTTTCACGTCGTTCTCTTCCAGGTCTCTAAGACCAGTCATCTTGACCAATTCCTGGAACCGGGCCTTCTGAAGCACTTTGGTTCCCAGGTCAGAGTTGTTATATTTTCCTGGACTCCAACTCATGATCAAGAATCCGTTATAGACCAGATGCTGCAGCCATAAGACTTTCGTCTCCAGGTGGCGAACCTTCCCAACGCCCAACCTGTGCGCCATGGCATTGTTCGCAGCACTGTCTGTGACGGATCGCAGGCCCAATGGCAGATTGAAAAATGCCAAAACCTTGCCAATCAGGATGCCTTCTGACACTCCTGAAGTGGTCGCGTAGTATTCGGCTTCAGCACTTGACTGAGCTACTACAGTTTGTAAGGCGTAAAACTGTACAACAGACAATTGCCAACATAGATGTGCGATGCTGACTTGGATCTACGACTCTGTCGGTCAGTAGCCCAATCGCTGTCAGTCATCACGACCACATCGTCACAATTGTTGACCTCACGGTCAAAAAACAAAGCATAACCTTTAGTGCGAATCAGGTATCGCACAAGGTCCTTTGCTGCTTCCCAACTTCGTTGAGTTGGTTTGCTCATCGCTCCACTGAGCTCATTGACGACATATTGAATGTCTGGGCGGTCAGTGGACATGTACATGAGGATTCCAACAACCGCTCGAAAGCGCGTTGTTTCTTCTGGTGACAGCTCGGCTGTAGGCTCGTCACCATCCTCGACGACTTGGTGATCGGAGTGTCTTTACCCTTGGAGTTCTCAGTCAGATCAGTCAGCTTCAACAGCTGCTTCAGGTGGTTTGACGTTGCGCTAATGTACAATCCCTCTGGAGTCACTGTCCTGACCCTCTTGAGGTGGACAAAGGTCGATCCAACGTCGAAAGGACCCTCCAGCGTCAAAGTCATGTACTTAGCCATCCGCTTGAGGAGCTGACCCGCTGAGTCTCCTGGTCCAACAGCATAGAAGTCATCCACGTGAACTTCAAGACACACCTCTGTTTCAGGGTGATAGAAAGATGGGGGACTTCAACACATCGTCTCATCCCAATCTTCTCTGTCAGTACTCCTGCGGTGAAGTCAGAGAATGCCCTTGGAGCAGGCCTTCTCCCGTATAACTGCTTTTTCAGCAACCACACTAAGTCCTGGTCTGGGAATCTCTGCTTCCACTCGTCAGGGGGCTCCACATACACCTCCTCTTCTTCAGGCGCGTGAAAGAAGGCGCAGTGGCAGTCGGCCAGGTACGCTCTCAGACTCTTCTTGGTCAAGAGATAATCCAGGATCCTGCCCGTGTTGGCCGACGACGTTACTCCAAACAAGTCGTCACGGCCCGGATCCTTCCATCTGAATTCCCTGGCGACAAACCGTGATCTTACGATCCATCGGTCTTGTTTCCACTTGGGGACTTCCGCCCATCGTGTCGTGATAAACTTCTTTCCATGGGACTCGAGATCTTCTCTGGGCACAGGCACATAGACCTTGTAGTCTGCAAGGCTTTTCAGCTCACGAGCTTTTCCATTGTGCATTTCCTGACCCCATCTCTCTTCATCCCAGGTGTCCGGATGATCCGTAGGATCACCGACCAAGTCATCCGACTCAAGGAGGTCCCATGCTTCGTCTGGCACAGGTGCTGGGGCTTCATCCACAGTCTCATAGACTTGTAGTACCCCGCCTGGCCTTTCAGGGCTGAAGCCTTCTTGGTAGTCTTCAGTCCTTAGCGGGAGTGTCAGCTGGGCGCTTTGAACCTTGACCTGGACTTTCATCCTCCACGACTTGGGTTTTCGTTGGCCTATCCGGCTCAGAACCTTGTCTTTTGTGGCTAGGTGATGCCGGAGTCAGGTACCCAGCCGCGTGGCTCGGGCTTTCTCCCCCTTCAGCAGGAGATTCAAATCACCAGGCTCTGATATAGCAAGAGGCGTAGTCGGCGCACAGCCAGAGGATTGATCTTCACCCACGGCTTGCGGTTCAACTGCCTCTGCCCCGTGAGTCAAGTTTGACCCATCTGGTTGCGGCACAACCTCACTTGACGGTATGGTGAAATGAACCATCACCTTTGACCGAGGTTTGGCCGGCAGAGCATCCGCCGTGACATCCCACGGAACTCCACGGAAACCAAAGAAGAGCTCGGAATCCCACCTTTTGTCAGTCGTCGCACAGTTTGGACTGCACGCTCGGCACGTCCATTGCTGGCTGAACTGTATAGAGGGGAGTTTCTTCGACCACAGTGGTGTGCTTTTGACTCCACCGGTCTTTGATTTTCTGGACTAAGCTTTTGATGGTGGGCTCGCCGTCGCTGCGTAGCTTCACCTTTTCGTGTCGCATGAGGCGCAGAATTTTTTCGGCCAAGTCCACCAGATCAGGTTGGTTCTCTGCCCCCTTGGACTTGGCCGGAATGGCAGCCATACCCAGTTTCGGCGTCAATCATGAGGAGCACATCAGTGGTCCCCTCAGATTTGCGCCCAGCTTCGTCGGATGAAGCAGCAACAAACCAGTCGAGGCATACCATCGGCAAAAGTCTCTATTCTGGTGGCTCGACTTTGCGATGTGGCAAATCCTTGCCACGGCCCCTGACACAACTTTCGCACCATGGGGCGTACGGAAGGTGCGTCAGCTCATGGAGCTCTCGCTCGACCTGCGACGGTGGCTCAGGACCAACCATCTCCATTGGGTGGCGAGCGAGATCGGGATTTCTGTTGAGGTCTTCCTCTCGTCGAGCTCTTTGGGCCTCGACGCTTCTGTGGTACTCCAGTTCAGATTCTCTGTCTTGGAGTCGGGCCCAAAGCTGCGCTTTGGTTCCCCAGACCGGAGCTGACAGATGTCGCAATCTGTTTCGCATGTCTGAGGCTCTGCTCTCTTCGGTCAGTTGACCCGGAGGCACTTCAGCTGGCTGTGGTACCGAGGGCTTGTGAAAGATCGTCACGATCCGGTCACCCACTGCAGGGATCAGCGCTGATGCGTCTTCCAGTTGAGACCAGTCCACTCGGTCCTCAACTTTAATCCATTGACTATCCTTTCTGACCCAAGTGGTCCTGAGGAGGTACCGGGAACGTTGCGGGTTCGGCACTTGGGACACTACTGCTCCATGCTTGACCAGGACAGGATCGCCCCCTGGCGTCAATCCCCATCCGGTCTTTTCAGACAGCTTGGCAACCTCGGCATCAGGTCGTGCGGACTCTGCTGGTACCGCTACGTCTCCGGACCTGTGCTCGCTCATGCCGTCTCCTGCCTGAGCTTCTTCGGGCTCAGCAATCTCAAGCTCATCCTGTGGATCTAATCCACCCACAGTGCAAACAACCGAACCTTTCCAACTGGGTGACTTGGTTAGAACGGGATTTTCCTTTCTTTCCTTTGCCCTTACTCTTGTCTTTTCCTTTATTCTTGCCTTTTCCTTTCTGCTTCCCCTTTAACTTGCCCCCAGGCTCACTGGCCCTGGCGGCATCTCGCTTTTGTCTTTTCCGCTGGCGCGCTTCGTAGTTCGCCTTGCGCTTCTCTTCGTCAGTCATACTGTGATGGGGTTTCCACCTGCTGCTATGGCTCTGGCCTTCCTGGTCCTCAACTTCGACTTCCTCATGGTCGTCTTGGTCCTCACGGTCCCTTTTCCGTGTGTCATCACGTCGATACCTGAGATCAGACTCTTCACTGTCACATTCTGATGACAGTCCACCGTAGTCAGCAGACCCTTGGGCTTGGTCATGATCTGGAGGTTCGACAGGCTCAGCCATTGCAGGTCTCCTGACCTCTTTTGGCGGTCTATGGAGGTGGAGGTCTTTCCGGCGTTGGCGGCCTCTTAGGCCTGTCAGCCTCGACCAGCCTGAGCGGCTCGGTCTTGCCTGTTGCAGGCTGCCCAGGCTCGGTCCCTCCAACGGGAGAGTCATGCTTTGACTCCTCCCTTGGCCGCGTCCGAGGCCGTTCGGAGGCTGAACCCAGTTTTGACTCATTTTCCTGACGCCTTGTTCGGTGTTTCTTCTTCTTCTTCCTGAGTTCCTTCCCCTCGGGCTCCTTTTCCTCTTCTTCCTCTTCCTCACAGTCAGAACTGCTGGGCTCTGGGTCAACCCCAAGCCTTTGTCGGAACTTGACGTGAGGATCGGTCAAGTGAAGCATTTTGATTCCACTGACCTGGCTGACTGAGCTCTCGGCTTCAGGCGCCTTGAGGAAGAAGGGAACATAGTAAGTAGGAATGCTGCACTTTCTTGACGTGGCATTCCCAACCTTGCTTGGTGAACTTAAGAGTTCCACCATCTTCTCCCTTGTGTCCCGAGTCAAAGCTGATTCCAAAAGACGCGCTCAGCTTTCCCAGGGATAAGATTGGTTGTCTCACTGGACCAATCAGGAACGTCACTTTCACGTTGATGTGCGTCCCATCCGTTGATTTGACACACAACTTGACTGTCTTTCCCATGACTTATGTTGGATCTCCTGGCCCTGGGCATCCCGCAGTCGCGGTGCCTTTCTGAGTGTCTCGACTTCCGCCCACAGCGCGAAGCTCGGCGGACACATATGTTCATCTGACCCGCTGTCAAGCAGAGCCAGACCGTGCCCCTTTGCCGTTGCGCTACACACTCCAGTGGTGGTAGCTCTGAGTTCAGTCTCGGGGGATGTGTCAGCTTCCTTACGTGACAAAGCAGCCACGCTTCCACCGGTCCCGGAACTGGCTGTGCCCGTTCCTGGCCCATGGTCCTTGTCTTTGAACCTTTGGTGGCATTTATCTGCGGTATGGTTCTGCTTCCCATAGATTTGGCACTTCTCTTTGGCAGGCTCGCTGTCCTTGCCTTTTCCCTTGCCAGCATGGCCTTTTCCTTTTCCTTTTGCTTTGGCTGATTCCTTGCCTCCGAACCAGCACTCACCCTGATGGGTTTTCCCGCAGATTTTGCAGGGACCCTTTTGGCCTTTGCCACCTTTTGACTTTCCCCCTTTAATTTGGTCGACCTCCATGGGCACGACCCCGCCATGATCGTACACAGCTTCTGGCTTCAGAGGCTCCTATCTCCTGTCTGCAACTTCATACTCAGACGCAGCCTTCTTGATTGTCGTCTTTGACAAGGAGATGGAGAAGTCTCCTGAGAGAGGCTATCTTAAGGTGTTCTGACAGCTCCTGACCCGATGTGGCTTCGTAATCCACAAAGAGTCTCTCCATGCACATGATGGCATCTCGAAGCTGAGTGCCCTTTGGAGGAGTCGGCATACTCAAGATCGTCTCAAGCAACCCGAGTGCCGCTGCTCCACTTGTCGGCTCGATGTCTAGCTGGCTCCTTCGGATCGCCTCGAAGCCGTTGCTGTCATTGGCGACAGCGCGCTCCCGCAACAGGGCGAGGAGTCTTCCCTTCACCGTACCCGCCAGAAAACTGAAGAGCTGACGGCTGCGGCTCTTTTCGTCCTCAGACAGCTGTGCCATGCTCACGGCATTGGCTGACGCAATGTGGCGCTCAATGTTCTCTTGATACGCCGCATCCTTAGTCATGAGGTACTGGATTGCAGAGAACTTCCAGTCACTCCACAACCTTCTATCTTCTTCAGGACGGCCTGTCAAGTCCAGCTTTTTCGGATTGGACGCCAGTCCTGCAGCCTGAGACCTTTTGATCTCGGCTAGTGCAGCCGTAGCTGCTTGGGCAGCACTATAGTGGCAGTCTGAAGGGCCACACGAAAGGCTTCTTCAGCTGGTGGTGTCATGGTGGGACTCCTTGGTCACCACCAGGTGGTGGCACAGTGGCCTAACCACCAGGCCACAACTCAGGGGCTGGGCTCTAGTCCTGGAGCTGCTCACCAGGCAAGCTCCGCTACCATGTAACGAAGTACAGGCAGTAGCAGTCAGTATTGGGCTCTCCTTTTCTCTAGCGCGTAGCTTGAGTTCACAAGGGTGAAAAGAGGGCTGCAGATGGAAACACCATGCAGTTACTATACATGCAGTAAAATGGGTGGAGCCGTGTGTACTAGCTCAACAGTAAACATACCACCTATTTGTAGTGATTTGGGGGATGGTTTATTATTGTTTTATCCACATTAATCATATGAAACAACAACCGGGGTGTATATGGACTTATGGATATAGATTGGTAAAAATGGCTTCATATGAAAGAGTGATCTAAGCAAAGCAGGGCATTGTGGATTTAAGCAGCGACATGAGCATGAGAATTTGTAGCGTTGCGGTATGGAGAAATCACAACTGACAATGATGGGGGAGGATAAAGTGCAACACATAAGGGAGTGACCCGCATCAAAACAGAAACAGCAGACCTGCTTTGACCAACAAAAAATGTAGCCACGTGGGATCAACAACGAAGTCGATTCATTTGCAACGGAGGTATCATGTGAAACATTACTTTGAAGGGCTACTGACTAGTGGCTGTCAATCCACCATCTCATGTAAACGCAACCAAGGACATTTTTTCCTATGGTAAACGCAAAAGTTATGTATCCAGGACTGGCCCTGTTTATCATAAACTCCATTTGTTGGGCCTCTGACCGCTCCCAAAACGCGGCGAACAAGCCCACTAAAGGCACCAATTCTTTTGAGATTGCTGGCAGTTCAAGTACATGATGGTATCGTCAAGCCCGGATTAATAAACCACCCCGCGCTTTTGTTGGGGGGGGGGAACCATTTTGGTGGCAAACATTAGCAAACTCTCACTATTTGAGGGTTTCCCTAATCAATCAACCAGGGCTTATGAATCCAGAGTGTTGTTAAAGTATCCCCTTGGACCTCTTGGTGAAGTTACCTAGCTGGAACTTGTGCATATCGCTGCACTTCTTGGCGGTCACCCAAGAAACAGTTCATATAGTTCGTGGGCATGCCACCAGTATTTGTACATCTAACATCATCTAATGTACACATGGGTCACTATTTTAAGTCGCATCCGGCAATGGATCGGTGTGAAGCTTCCCAAGAGATTGAATCTCATTTGTCGGCCCTCAATGCCCATTTCACCCTGGCATCCCCCGAAACCGCTTCTGGACGGCGTTTATGGAGTTCACAAGCAGCATTTAACAAGTGGATATATAGCCAAACTGCTACCCATCATATCCTATCAATAGTTGGATCGTGTTCTAGATCCCTATATTTTTCTGAACATCTTACTTTTTCATATAGCAACCTCAAACACAAAAATGGGAATCTGAAAATATATGGCAAATATCTCTAGTAAATATCATCTATACCATTCTGCAGAGGGTTTTTCTAACTTTTTGGGTGTTACTTTCAAGAGTCATATCGTTTTCAAAGATGAAAAGTGACATATTTTCAAATTATTTTGGGTGCTTCTTCTAATTTTCAAAGGTGCAAATCGGTTTTGAGTCTTCATATTTTCGAAGTGAAACTCACCATCGTCTTCACGCCGAGCTACAGGGAAACCTCGGTTTCTAAGCCTATGGTGATCATATTCCTGAGATGCGACAAACGCGACACGTGTTCCACCTGATTTGTGGTAGATGGAGATATGATAGGGATATAAATCCTCCGGAAATTTGACATATCTATGGAAAATGGATATAAGATGATATAAGCCTGGCCCATTTAAACAAGTTTTACCTAGTAAAAATGGTGATTTTCCATTGTTGTTAAATTACCAAAGATAAGGGGATAATAGGACATGACTTACATTAATTTGTTATACACTGTTAACTCCATTTTACTAGTTGGTCAAGAACAGAACTGCCAGCTCAGACAATTGTAGCTTTATAGCCCCGGAACTAAGCATCAAACAACAAGTGCAACTTTGAACATTGCTCAAATTACCCTCTGGTAATTTAACATAACTATGGAAAATCACCATTTATAGTGAACTTCCCATGAAACATTGTGATTTTCCATAGTCATGTTAGTTTTCCAGAGGGTAGTTTTAGTGAAATTCTTAAATCATTGACTGTAACCCCTCTTAAAGATATGGGTCAAATGGATCATCATCCCAAAAAAGAAAAGAATCGAAAACACATCTGAAATCGTGATAAAAGCAGTGATTTCAAGAGAAATCTTTCTGTTTATGGTACGACAAAAATCACATCCCCCTCCTGGAAAAAACAAGGCGAATCAAGTCAACACGCAGCGTGGAAAATTCCAACGCGAACATCAGATAAAGCTAAGACACACAAAAAAAGGTCCAATCACACACGCTAAGTCTGGCACAAAGAAGAAAACAGGAATCTGTTTGGATTTGAAATATATTCAGGTTGACCGAGCTCCGTAGCCCCACACTTCCAGCCTAAGCACAACCTATCCGCTTTAGGTCATTGAGCAGTCTCCAGCTAAACCTATGACAAAAAACCCGAAACGTTGTCTGCTTCAATAGGGAAACAGAAATACATTGTGCAATGTCAAGCTTTACGCATCTTTATTTTTCTAGGCACATTGAAGAGGGGTTTCAATATATCATCATATTTCATGGATAAAAAAAGATGGCATGGGAATCCCGGATATGAGTAAGAGATCAGAAGAGGGTATCAAAGGTAGGTTGATAACACCAGAACAAATCATCAACTAACGTCGGCCGCCAAAGTTGACATCCCAGATGCAGCAGAATGATAGCACCGGCAGTCCATTCGAACCTCATGGATTGACGTTGGTTAGCAGCGATTGGAAACGTTCATGCCCCTTATCATGTGTTCCGTCCAGAACATGCTGTTTAGTGCTATCGCTATCGAGCATTTATAGTTCTGTAACCTTTTTCCGAACAACATCAAATCTTTCACGAAACATTTGATTTCACGAAAAAATGTCCAGGAATTTGATGACTTTGAAGATTTTTGCCCGCCATGGCTGGGATTTGCAGAAGAAATGTCCGCAGAGATCAACACAGGGTCTCTCTGTGGGACTGTGGGCTGGTTGGTCTGCCGATTAGACCCAACAAAATATGTTGCGAATCTCTGAAAATCATTGACCTTATCTGGTGATTTACTCCATCATGTACCGAACCCATGCTGATGTTTAGACTGAGCTCTCTCCCTCTCCCTCCGCAAGTATATACCTACACATAAATATGAACATTTATGCATATATATATATCAAAATAATATATATATAAATATAAATATATTTATTTATCTTTGCACCTACACCCGTGAAAGTAAACATCATGCTTCAGTTGGATAATCATCTCGCAGTTTGGGCAAGTGCAACTCCGCACTTGCAGTATCAATATATATATATACATATATACATATATATTCCTCCACAATAGGTCCATTTTCTTAGTCCCCAAAGTGTCATCTGAACGACCTACCCCCGAGATTCGAACCGTCCTTGATTTTAAATCAATTTTGTACTTCACCAACAGACGGCATGATGAAGCATGAAGCCCAAACATTCCGTGATTGTACGAATTATACCGGTTGAAAAACGGAGTTGAACTACAGACAACAGTTAAAAATTGATGGGGCCTAGTGGTTGAACCACCAATGTCACAGCAACATGTCACAGCCCCTTGAAGGCATCGATTTGCCAATGGTTACGGCTACATTAAAACTCCTCGACCTCCGCAACCAAAGGAAAAAGGAAAACCACCAATCATGGTGGCAAAATGGTGGCAAAAACAAGTGGACATTGTTGGGTTGTGATTCATGATGCCTTTAATCCACACACACACCACCCACATGAATGAGAACAATAAAAAATCAAGATAGATTTGGTATAATCATGTCAACAACATGTTATTGGATCAACGAAGGAATATCAACAAAACACCAAACTGGCCTCGTCGTGGCTTTGAAAATCGACCCATGCCCTCCGGGAGGGCACGCAATGTGGCAATGTGTGCTCTCCAAATCAAAACGCCCCGTTTTAAAACGGTGGAATCTCAGTTGCTTCAATCCATCTCTTTTAACAACCTTGCAGACTATATATCCGAGATTTTTTTGTGCAACCCTTCGTTATAATAATTAGTCTACAGTAATGATTTCTATAATGGTTAAACTCCAGTTGAAACCACAACAAGGCGGCCAGAAAGGTTCAGTTGGGGAACCATTTGGAGTCCACCATCTTCTTGACTTGGTGTCGGTATAGTTCCTCCAGGGCACGTGATGCAATATAAAACCAATATGTGAATAGGGGGCTCCAATTTCAACAGCAAATTGTCATTCTTCAGTGGACCCCCATATTGTTACACTGGGGGTTGGCATCGCACGATCTTTGTCCACTGGTTGTTTTTGTCCGAAGATGGGTTTACCTCACACATGAAACGTCCATTTCCATCAATTGAGCTAATTATTTGGTATGGACCCATCCCCGCAGCCAAGGCAATACACAAGCACCCTGAAAAAATCATAGAAAATCATTGTCCGCCTGAAACTGTGTGAATTCCACTTAGTTTCAGAGACTGGTTACCAACCAAAAACATCAAGCTGCTGTTCGACAACTCGGCAAACAAACATAAAAACATAAATCACTAAACGGTGTGATTCAGTATGATGAGACGATGCACAATTAAATTATGTCAAATTTTCATGTGCATGAAGAACCGGCAACTTGTCAAATTACAGTAATTTAATTTGGACCTGTTTGATTCAGAATCAAAAAATACAAGTATCTAATAACATCCAAAACAGAGATCTAGCGTGCCACTGCAATGCCAAACAGGTTGAAAATAACAAGTCTATATGTGTGCAAAAGTGGTCCCAGTGGTTCAGCACAAGTTTTACCCAACCTTCAAAAATATACATTTCAAATATTGAACGTTGAAACAACATGTCGTGTCAACTTCGGGAGCGCTTCCGCCAGTCACACGAAATTTTTGTGGTTGCCGGGCTGTGGGCCAATTGGATCGCAGCTGGTCAACTTTGTTTTTTAAAATTTTGAATGTCAAATTTGGTTGGTGACAACCTAGATTGTTGAAACTATGTTTTTGGTACCATGCCTTGATAAATGTTACCTTGATAAATGCTACCTTGTTTGCCTTGTTTGGTTCGCTTGATTGTGTCGGTTTGTACAAATCAATTTTGACCGATCACATGTTTAGACTCTTCTTTGATGGGAAGTGCAGCTTGGTCATCGAAATCCACGATGTGGCCGTTCAAATCACCATCTTAGTGTAAATAACTACAAGTAAAACTCAGTAAAACCCATTATTTTTTGGGATTGGTGCCAGCCTGAACATCGTTGTCTCCAAAGGGTCTTAGCCTTTGATTCATTGCAGTTTATACGATTTGTACGACCCATTTGCCCCGAAAAAACCGAAACAATGCAGGGCCGAACCCTTGGAAGGGCGCATTTGTTTATGCACCCACCATCTTTATCCCCGGGAAGTCTATGTGCACCGGACCCACAGACCGCCGCGGGTCCCATCCGCTCAGCTCCGCGGTGGACATCTTTTTGGCCGCGGCATCGCCTGAAATCCAAAAATTGCCACGTTTTCTCAATTGAGAAAACACATGCACATACCCAAGGCTTGCAATTTCCCGATGTTAAGTATTTTTGCACATGTGGCAATTTGCTGGAAGAAATGTGATTAGGGGTTTTCTCGTCAACGGGAATATCACAAGCACACATTATACGTTTGCATATATGGGTTTAAAGAAAGAAACGCCACGCCGCCGTGTCAATCAAACACGGCGCTAGAACACGATCCGCTTAATCCTGGCAATATAAAAAATATAATGCACGCCAGGGATGCAAGCAAGAATGGCGACCAAGTTCAAATTCGATGGCCAAGGGGATGAATCAAACCGTATAACCGCTCGAGTCGGACATTGCTTTACAATGCATTGAAAAGTTGTTATATTGGCTTTCCTTGTCTTTATGCGCACTTGGAGTTGAAAGATACCGACCAAAAAGCAAAAAAACAAAAGCAACCTGGTTTGGCGCTTGGATCAATCATCCCCCTTTCCTGGACTTTTTGGCAGGTGAAGCTGTGGCGTAGCCGCCGCGCACAGCAAATCTGAAGATGAGCAAACGGAGCGCAGCCTCGACGAGATTATTACACCTAGTTAACAAAGCAGCAAACTCCGATACCGCAATTTACTTCTAAATCGCATATAGTCACTCCACGTACCGTCAAAAGCTGCAACCGCCCAAAAGCGAGACGATTGAAAAAATAATATGGCATGCGATTGACAAAAGCAACAAACCATGGGACCCAGAATCTCAGCCTTAACATTGCAAAACACAGATAGACCGTTTGCTGTATGCGGCAAATGCTGGATGTTGGCAACATGAATATCTATGAAGATCTCTTCCATTGATATGACCATGTCAGGAATCCAAGACAAACCTTCGCAGATGTCCAAAAAAATGCTCTACTATTAAGTGCTGTGCAAGGTGCAACCCTCAGGTTGCACGAGGTAAACGTCCTCAAGTGGCGTGCTGTTGTATGAGACCCCCCTGCGTGGACATGTGCCAGAAAATCACCATGTGACATGCGAGGCCTAAAGACCATGAAATCCTGAGAAATTGGATGGTTGCCGGCTTCATCCTCGCTTCCAGTCCGACTATCTTGTTTATGGACTGGATGGATCTGCAAGTCAGAGACAAGAACCCTGCACCTTGACTTGGCGGAGGGGAACAATGTTGAAAAGCTAATGAAGATGTTGAAGATACCGTCTTAGAGGAGCTTGTATGAAAGCTTATATGCAGCTGCTCAAAGATGTTCTGGCAGAAAGGCCTTGTAAGATCTTGTAAGATCCATTGAAAGATTCTCTCATGATGATCTTGTATCTATTTGTATCTTGTGAGGTTCTCTCAAAGGTCCTGAAAACACTATTTGGGGTCTCCTGACGGGACTGACGGGACAATTCTCTGGTTCTTCGCGTGGACAACCTGAGACTCGAGATCCCGCAACTTGCTGATGAAATTCAACGGTTCCTCGTTCACTCGGCAGCTTTTCGTTGTCAAGTTCCCTGTCTCCTCCTTTTCTAGTGGCTATGTTCCAATTTCATGGTGGTGAAATATCTCCCAATTTCACGTACCATTCGCCATTCGCCTACTATTTTCTCGCGCAGCTGTTCATATATAGTTTATCCCACTCACTGGCCGGATTGTGCTGCACATATTTACCCGTTTCCTTTACCTACCATTCACTAAGGCTCAACAACATTAAATCCTACTGATTCTTCACTATTTCCCGTTGTTTTTTCCCATGATCCTACCATTTTTTGTTGGTGAATCCACCTATATATCATTCATCAGCGTGTTTTCCCGGTTGATCATTCTTCCCGCTTGAATCCAAACTTGTCTATGCTTAGCTCATGGGGCCTGATTTTGATAAATCTCGGATTTGACTGGTCAAATCCTGAACGTGTGGCTGGTTAAATCCATTGTTACCCAGGAACTCACGGCGGAAAATCCCAGCGCCAAATGATGGCTCAATGGGAAATGGCTGGGAAAATGAACTGTAAATGCTACCCTCTGGTTATGACTCACGGTTTGCCATGGAAAATCCACCCGTTTTTAATAGGTAAATCATCATGTTTATCATCTATAAAATGGGCCATTTTCCATAGCTACGTTAGTCAGAACCAAAGGGTCGATTTTCCAGCTATGTTTGACCAACGGAAATCCTAACTCTGGTTGGCTACCCCCGAGTGAAATCCATCCTTTTTGGAACGCGGAACCCTGCAATTTCCGCCACCATGAACCTGCCAGTCCCGTCTTGGGAAAATACCCGTTCTCGGGTCATCGTCAACCCAATCTGATTACCAGACTATCAGATACTGTCAGATACTGCGGAAATTCAATTCGTAGCTTCTTGCCTCCCATGCAACATGCGTGGATACAACATGATAAAACCATAATCAATCATCAAACAACAGGGGTGGATTGCATCTGCTCAGGTAAGCATCGGAAAAACAAAAGCTTGAAAAAACCAAGTAGCTCAGAATCTCGCCAATCACCCGCTTCAAAGGCCCCTTCCTTTGAAGGCGAACTGCGAAGAAAACATGTGCGGCCTTTGAAGGCCTAGCCTGGGGTGTGATAAACCGTGTTTCTTTAAAAACAACAACGAACAATTTGGAGGGCAAAACTGTTTGCAATACAGTTTATAGATGTTTATAGATCATATAAAAGTATCAGCAATTTCTGGAAACAATGGCAATCAGCTATTTCTACCCCACAGTAAAACTCACGTGAAATTCCCACCGTTTGGAGATCCTTGCCCTTGGGTTTATCATGTTTTCTCCATACCATGTTCCTGAGCAATATGGTAACCATTTTCAGCGGCCAAAAACTGAATCTAAACCATTTTGAAATTGATTTTAAGCAATCAAAATACGAGCGTCGACTGACAAGAACAGGGGGGTGACTCCACAAGGATGATGATTTTGCAACAGAATTACGGGGTTCACCAACAAAAAATGCAGGTGGTGACTGATTAAATGGTGGTGTGACTTCAGCACATGAGGATGTTAAGAAAACAAATGGAGTGAGCCAACAACATGTGAGAACTTGAGAAACAACCAATGAGGATCTAATCAAAGGAATGTTCCTAGTCCATGCAAAATAGTGGGGTCAAGCAGCCCATTGTACGAGACTCAGATGTAATCAGTGGTGGAACCTGCAGAAAACCATCAAGGATTCCCTGGCTTCCAAGCCATGGCAACTTGATGTTTCTGCCACAACTTCCTCCAAAAACATTGCGGAAAACTGAGCAAAATTTGTTGGGGTTAGCCAGCTATCCAGTTCTAGACTCACATCTTTCACCGAGAATTCTCTTTGGCATGGCTAGTCCGCGCGTCATGGGAAAAGGAAGGGCTCAGATGGGTTCAGAATAGTGCGCCGGTTGACAAAGAAAGACCTACCATTCACCAGTTTGCTTACCCAGATGTCCATCCCACTTGGTAAGTGGCTGGTAAGCAACCACATGTAAGCCGGTGATGTGTAGGATATATGCTGATTGGGAAGCACCCCCAAGTGCCGATAGAGATATTTAGCCAAAAAAGGTTTCTGTTAAACCTCCGCACCCTTCTTGACCAAACCGTCTGAAGTGATTGAACTCGGACCAGCCGCTCTTGGAACTGAAAGGCCTCCATCATAGTGCTATCAATGGCCAACATCGCATCCTGCTGAGCGGAAGATTTCGGCATTTATATGGACTATTGTTTATATGTACATGTATGTATGTTTTTGTGTGTATATGTAAATACATACTGACCTAATACATACGTATGTACATATGTATGTACATATGTATGTACAAATGTATGCATGTATGTATGTATGTATGTAGGTAGGTAGGTAGGTACTGTATGCATAAACTTATGTATTTGTTGATTATACACATAGGGCCGCAATTTTCTAGTGGAATACGAGGTTGAAATATAGATTGAAAACGGGGTATGCCCTCAATTTATGGCCGCTTTAATTCGTTTTATACCTTTGTAATAAGGAACATGATGAACCAAAGGATCTCTGGGCTACCCGAACCACACCAACACGGGGACCAGTTTTTCCGACTGGAAACTGTTGTGGTGGTCCGCTTCAACCCGCTTCCGCGGTTATGTTTATACACAACACGTATTGGAAAAACAAAGGTTTTCCATCATTGCCATGTTTGAACGTGGATGGATGCAAATAATAAAAGTTGAGAAATCAAAACTCAGATACGCAGCACTTCATCAGTATCAGTGGCTGGGCAAAATTGCTTTACTGTGTTTGATATCGGTTGCATCACCAGGAAAAAACTGTCAGTTAAGGATAGTCAGTGAGCCCCCGATTGGTGGGGTTATCCGATACACACATGGATATTATACACATATACATATATAGTTAAATACATGCACATCTAGACATACAAATATGTATATATATATATATATGTATATATGTATATATATATGTATATACATATTAAAATACAGCTACCTCCAAAACATCAAAATTGGCGCATTATAGTTTTGAAACCAATGGTTTTGGGGATCCCCTCGTGTGAGTGTGTGTAGAACCACCCCAAAAAGTAGATAGAAACGCTGAAAACAATATCTCTTGGAATACAGTTCGGTTATGCTTTCCCCAGCTTCATTCCAGATTTCCAACTGTTATACATATACATATATATATATACATATATGTATATATACATATACATATATATATATATACATATACATATATATATATACACACACATATATATATATTCTATATATATCTATATATATACATATGTATTCTCGTATATATATATATATACACATTCTGATATAGATATATATATATATATGAGAATAAATATATATATATATATAGACATCCCGGTTCAGGTTGGGCCCGAGGGGTTGGGAGCCCCATTCTGTAAGTACAGAATGGTGTGCCCAAGGTGCACTTCTTACAAAATGGCCGAACCCAACGTTCACAGACATATTTTTTTGTTACAAAATGGCAGCTACAGAATGGTATACGAATCTTGCTCGACTTGCATCCGCTTGCATCCGCTCGTTCGAACTGGGCCCTTACAGGATGGTCGGGGACGGGAGAAGGCTATCAAACGAATTCCCCAAGGATCCCTAGACTCTAGACAACAGCAACAACAACAACAACCACCACAACCTCCAACAACCTCCAAGAGCCACGGGCCGACTCGACCACAATCCCGAGTCACCTCTCACCTCTCCTTTTTTTCGAGCATTCTCGTTATTGGATTTAAGGCGAGGAAATGGTCATGTTGTCAATTTTGTCATCAAACAATATTTCATTTGTATTTTTTGATTTTGTCGTCAATGTACCAACAATTATCACACAAAAAATCTTAAACTGTCAAAAAAGACGATCTATGCAAAAAATATAAAGATAACGAAGCTATTTTTTGAATTTGTATGAATTAGTCATGTTTTCGATTTTGTCATTTTTCATTAAATTGCATTATATTTTTTCCAAACAAGTAGTGTTTTCATGCTATCGAACAAATAATTCAAGAAACGGCTCTGCTGGTTCGGACGGCGACATTGGAACTTGATGCCTTCAATATCATTCTGATATATTCTGATATTGGGATCTTTTAGGCTATGAACATTGTCCATGTTTTTTTTTGAATCCGTCCAGTTTGTAAGGGGCTATGGTAGCAATGTTGTCCATCTAGTTTTGAATCCATCCAATTTGTAATGATCATTGATTTGCACTCTTCAGACCCCTTACAGAATGGTCAGGAATGGACAGTAGCAAATCCCAAAAACGGATGCAAAACAACGGGCCAGGGTAGGGTACACTTACAATATGCCTCAGCCCAAGGTCAAAATTTTGCACAGAATGGTAGCGAAAAACCATTCTGTACCTGCCTTGAGGCATCCTATTCTGTAAAAAACTGCAACGGGGGTAGAGAGAGAGAGAGAGAGATATATATATATATATGTATATTATCTCTCTTTTTGGGGGTTGCTATGAAAGGACTATGACTTACTGGAATGATCAAACCGAAACAGTTTGTAAGCGAAAATTGTAAATTCCTATTGTAAAGAAGATCCATTATGCAATTTGGTGGATGTTGGGGTTCATATCATCCATATCCCTTTTCAGATGCATCAATGGCTTCGGATTCCCAGCTAACCAGAGTAAGCAGAGTGACCAGCCCCCATCCCTGTCCTGTGAAATTTCCGGCCTTTCCCTGGTCACTTGCGGCTTGGTTTCCAAACCTTGCGACGGAAAACGTCAGCGACGTCAAACATTTGCACAGAAAGCCTCTTTTCTCCATCTGGGCATCTATATCTACAATTGTTCTGCCCATCTATCTACCTATACCTTTAGGTAATTATATTACTTCTATACGTATATATATATATATATGCGTGTGTTTGGGCAGCATGTGCACTTAAATCAAATAATTAACTTATATACTTATATCTATATCTAAAAAAATATTATATATATATATATATTTGCATATGTGATATTATATCTGTGTGTGGTAAAACTACTTATATACCGGAACTGATTTGAAGCTAGTTTTGAATGCGTTTGACAATACGCCTGAATATTCATCATGAGGCCACCATGAATTGCGGAATTTCCATCAAAATTCACAGGTCCAATAGGGTATCTTCATGTATCTTCAACCGCCGTATGTTGTCCTTGTTGATCTCTCTATGACATGATTCTCCCAATAACATCCTTCCAGGTGGTATCATCCCCAAACACCTGCACAAGTGGCTGCCAACATCCCGGCCAGAAATGAACAACACCATTTGCGAAGCATATTATGATCATTTATGATCAGTGCCTTTTTGAAAAAGGTGACTGGTATTGACTCTGGTTGATTTGGAAAGTTTAACCTCCAGGGATGGAAACGGGCCAACCGCTTACTTGGACAACTTCATCATGGATCCCCATCCGTTTTGTCCCGGCAATCATGGCTGGAAAATCCCTGATGGTTTCTCCATGAGAACACCATGGCTAGAAGGAATTTTCATATATCTTTAATTGCGGGTTTCCTAAAAGCCAGGGGCACCCCCAAGCATCCAGTATTGAAACATTGGTTGGTAAAACCCCGAATTGCTATTTGTTGGTAAAACATAAGCATTTTCCATCAAGTGCCGCGACGACCGTGCCGACCCTGCCGACCGTGCCGCGCCGTTGTGTCCGCCAGGTGACTTTTCTCCAGGGGCGTCGACTGCGTTGGGGCCTTCGACTTCTCTCCTTTCAAGTCGGCTACCTTTTTGAGTTACGAGCGGGGAAACGAGGCCAAGTCATGAATTTGGTATTGCTTGGTATTGCTTAAGGTATTGGGCCAGGTATTGGGGGAAGAGTTCTTATTTCTGACTTTCGGTACTTGTGACTTCCATGATTATTGGCTTGAACTCCAAAGATCTCCGAAAAAAAAAGCCCCTAATATCCATGGGAACTCCAGGATCCTAAAATGGAGGTACGTTAGTACCATATTTTTAGCCATATTTTGGGGGTATATCCCCTTACATAGCAATTACATAGACCTTATATATGGTAGGTACCTCCAATTTAGGTTCCTGAAATGGCCATTGACAATATCCAACGCCGAATGAGGGGTCTTCAGGAGTCATGCAATTGTAAGGCGGAAAGGGTTGCAGTTAAGCAATTGTAAGCAAGACCAGCTGGGGATGTTCAGACTGTTCAGCCATGAACATGGATATTTTGAAACACACAGTTCAGCAAATTTGCGAAAACACCAACAGTTGTATCTTGTAGCCCAAGCAATGAGGAGTCACCCAAGGGATGACATTTTGGGTCTTTAGCCATCTCCAACCGTCCCCTCACGGGGCACCAAGCATCATAATTTCACTAAATGTCTGGTTGGTAGTTTTGAGCCATAGTTAATCACCATTAATCACCATCATTAACCATTGTTAACTGTTACTGGTTGGTGGTTGGTATACCTACCCCTCTGAAAAATATTGGTTATTAGTCAGTTGGGATGATGAAACTCCCAATACATGGAAAAATAAACAATGTTCCAAACCACCAACCAGATTTCTGTTTGAAATGGCTATGAATTATCCAATCAAATATATTGCTGAATCCTCCTGTGCCTTCAAAAGTATGCACGCCGGCACGCTCTCTCACACACACACTTTCCCTCTCAGACTCACAAAGGGGGGCGTGAATCGGTGGACGAGCTGAAAACATGGGAAAGCTCCAAAATCCAGTGGCTAAAAACCCGATTTACACCATTAAAATTGCATAACTGTGCCATAACTTGGAGATTAATCTATTTTTTCTAACACACCCATATTCTCATATAGGCCAAATGGTGTAAATCATCCCAATCAGTTGGCAATGACAAATGCACTACAAGTATGAGTCTTTTAACTGTAGCACATTGTAGAACCAGTCAAGGTTTTTAAACCCACAGTTTAAATAATAGGCTGGGCCCACGGAGTCAACACATCTCGGTTTCCTTTCCGCGACGGGCTGTCCCACAAGTTATCACAAGTTCAAACCTTGAAAAATGGAACTGGAAAATCCGCAACCCAAACCAACAGTTTCAGTCATCATAAAAATTGCCATCAGAGGATCTATTGCGGCAGTTCCACTGAGTTGTCAATATAGATTCATCCATCTGGCATGAAACAAAAGCAAATGAAAGCTGTAGCTAGTTGATTCCTCCGCCTAACATGGCTTAACATGGCAAAAACATAGCCTAGCATATATCCGAGCATCATGTCTTCTTTTCAACCCCGTTTTTGAAGATCCTTCTTCCATACTGTCCCGTTGTGTCCCGTTCTGCCCCCTCAGTTTTCTCCAAGGCACCACTTCGGTATATTCAGGTCGAATCCTGTCCGATGAATCCAGTTATGGTCAGCGGCCCTGGGTCAATATCCCTGTGGTTGGTTTTAATTGGGGATCCACTTAAGAGATCTTAAGAGCACCTGTGAACTTTTGGGGGACAATCCGCACCCCACCCGCCAGTCCTACACCTTTGAACTACGACCCGTTTTCTGGCATCTTTGAAGGTAAACTGGATATGGGTCCACATTTCCAACGCCCCAAAAAAAACATCTCCAAGATTACACATGTACTTGCCATCTTCAACCTAACCGTTTTTCCTGGCTGACCTTGAATACCCTGCAGACGGTACATACTTTTGGCTGCCCAACAGGTTCCCCTATGCCTAGGAAAACAAAAAAGCTACAACCAATTACCCAAAATCTTCACCAGTTGGTTGATCCAGAAACTTACCCACTATTTGCTGGGCAAGTTACCATTTTCCTGGCTAAATCCAAGTTGCAGCAGAGTTTTTGCCAATGATTCACTGTAAAAAATCCCTAGTTGAGCAAACAATTTGTCCCATCAAGCACTGGTTGGTAAATACATATTGTGACAATCCCTAATATAATTATATATATATATAAATAGGATATGAATATATTTAAACTATATAATATATATATATAGAGAGAGAGAGAGAGAAAACATAGGTTAATAACCAATAACCCCGAACTAATCAATCAACCAGGGTCAACTGGCCACGGTCTTTTTTTTTGTTTCAGTCCAAGTTTCTGGGCAAGCAACTGCTCAACAGAATTTTGCCACCTTTCATGCTGCTCTCTCAGCAGGGCCATGCATTGCAACGACTCCTGCGGTGACGCGATGCGACCATGGGGATGTGCTAACGTGCAGGAAACCATGGGTTTTTACATCTCAATTTTCGCCGAAACCAATTTTGGGTGTTTTGTTGGTTTATTTGTCTGGCTACGTTATTGCATATAATGTTGGATAGCATGTAATGGAGAATCACAATCAACAATAACAATGCATGGGTCTGTTGGGGATATCAGCCAACTAAAACTGGAATGTGAAGTGAAACTACCCGGCTGAACCATGTTGACCAAGCCGAAATCTGCCGTTCTGGTGTGACTCTCCATCTGGAAACAATCCGTCTTTGACGTGTGGTGAATGTGGAGACAAGACATGACATTCTCAACATGGTTGTCCTCAACATGTTTGGACGAACCAAGTTGTTGTTTTTGAATTTTCCCGATGTCTATATAGGATACATAAATAAATAAATATCATATCCACATTTAATATATATATATATGTAGCATGTATTATCTGCACATTGCATATATATATATAGTGTGTAAATATATATATATATTGTATATATTTCTTTATAGCTATCTATTATCTAATTATCTATTCATATACGTATGTATTCCTTGATCTTTGTGCATTCTCCGTTGTTTGGACCTACCGTCGTCACCTCCTGCTGCCGCTGTACGGCCAAGATGGCTTCTTCAACCTACGGGGGAGTCCTGGTGAATTTCACCGGGGTTGAAATGGTCCAACCATGCTGAAATGCAGAATTAAATAAACATGAATACAGAATACACATATATAAAGCAAATTGTATATAGTATAAAAATAAAGAATATGACATACACATGTATACATATATATAATGCAAATATTCTAGAGAATTGAAATACTGCAAAGCTGTATGTACATATATATATATATGTATATATATATGTATATAAAGCATTTCATACCCCGCGTACGAATCCCAAAATGATTGGATCCACTACAAACTCAGAGGTTCGTTAGGGGTGTATGTAATGTGAGAAGGATTCCGAGCGACATCATGCAACCATCTTTCGTGGGGTTACATTTTTGTGTGCATATATATATACATAAATATAGATAGATCATGATGTATCAGCCGTTTTGTGGGGGGTAAAGTCAGCCTTTTGTTGGTGACATTTTCTGGGATGTAGAAGTGTATACCCAACAAAATGAAACTGGCATGAAATTGGCTGGTTTAAAAATGAGGGGCACCCAATTTCTGGCGTGTTTTCTTTGAATGTGGAAAAATGCTGATTAACACATGAACTTGGAAACATCCGATTTTTGGACAAACCCAACATCATAGGGATCTAAAATCTCACACATTGTGCGGATAAATATAATATGGGATATCAAGTTGTATATTATGGAAAGAAAACTATAACAGGAATACCATCCACGTGAGCAAATTTTGGCGCCGTGTCCAAGCCTGATCCTCCGTCAGTATGGGTGCCGGCATGTTTGGCGCCCGAGGAACGCCTGAAATTTTCGGGGCAGCCTGGGTGTTGGTCAGATTGTTGCTGACAGGCCATAAGTCGCAAAATGATGGGCTGCTGCCACTGCAAGTAAACATAAATTAATTATTAATATCTGATAATATGTGTGCTACTCTTGTTGACGATATAGAGTGGCCGGTTGGTTGTGTTTTCCTTGTCGAAGACAGTGACGACTAAGAAGTAAGTGTGTCAAATAAGAAATGTCATTGTGTGGCTGCTGTTTTCAGTTTCACCCCTGCTTTTCAGAGCCGAAAAACGGGACAAACACCCTGTTTTTGCACCGAGCAGAAACAAACGCGACTAGCAATCAAGGAAGATAAAACGACATATTGAAACATATGGATAATAATGGAAACATTGAAACTGAAAGTAACACTTCGACAATTCAGCCTCGAAACGCGTCACACATTTACCAAGAATTTCTACATTGCCTCGGAGACGTTCAAGCTGTGGCCATGTTTTTGTTGGGGTCAAAATGGCGATCTCAAAAAGGGTTCAGTTGCACTGGAAACTGGAAAGCTTATTTTATCTCTCATGGGGTACCCAAGTGTGCAATATTTGACGCTGCTCGCTCACATCTCCACATTTGGTTGATGGAAAACGGTTCATTTTTAGATGTTTTTTATGGTGATTTATCTATTGATCATTGTTTTTTCCATAGCTACGTTAAATACCCACATTGTATGTACTTGCGTTTCCTGTTGCATGATAGCAACTTAACATCGGCACCAAACGGTTACATCTACATCAACCTGGTGAGCTATCAACACTCAAATGAAATCAACCCATGACATGTAGGCCCGTAAATTCATTGCAAGTTCATCAAAAAATTACCCCATCCAAACAAAACCAACGTCACACAGAATTCAAAAACGCTGGAACCGTCTGGGTTCTTCTGTCAAAAATGGGTCCCAAAAAATAAAGGTTGGTTACTATGTTGCTATAAATCTATATTTCCCGCATGTTCGTTGGTGAAAAAATCATCAGCCAATCCAATGATGGTTCGCTTAATATCCCATGATATCCAACTTAATATCCCATTCTTGGCCCACAATCTTCGGGGTAATTCGAGGTAGTACTACAGTAACAGTTTGTTGTTCAAAAGACCCCTCTGTTTCCGATCCAAGCCAACAATGAATGATCTTGTTGGCTCATACCCAAATTATATCAATATTCCCAACATATCAAATGATATCCCAGTTGTGACTGTTTTGCGGCCATGTGCCCAATGCATCCCATATGCTTCCCCATAAATCCTTTATAAATCAACCCCGAATTTCTCCGTCATCATATCCCCCAATACCTCAATGGCCATTTCAGGTACCTAAATTGGAAGTACCTAGCATTTTTTTCCGGTCTATGTGAGGCCTATACAAGGGAATATCGTTCCCAAATAGTTTGCTAGATCCATGTTACCCTCTGGTAATTTGTTACATAGCTATTGAAAATGACCCATTGAAATAGTGGATTTACCCATTAAAAATGGTGGATCTTTCCAAAGTTTTTTGTTGGTTTACCAGAGGGCAGGTTCCAAAGAATGGGCCGTTGAATATCCAGTTCACCATGCCCAGCCACTCATGCCACGTAGTCTCCAGTGGTCCCCAAGGCTGTCGTTCTTTGGGCGCCGTGGGGAGCACCACCCGCAACCCGCTGCAGCGAGCTCCTCCCAGCCAAGGCACTGAGAAGCCTGGGCTTTTTGACGAACCCATGGCTGGGACAGAGGAAAAATCACCTGACATCATCAATGTATATAAATATCTATAATGTTTGATTATGATTACCAATATCATCCAATATCTTCCCACTTAAAAACCATTTGTGGTTTCATTTCTAGTTTTGAAGGGTGACTGGAAAGTGATATTATGGATGAAAGGCCGCACAATGCCGCACAGGCCCCCTCGTCTAAGTTGGACCTAGCTAAGTTGGATCATAATCGTTACCCCAGGCGTATCGAACTGGTTAAGGGTGTTAAAAACCAACTTATAACTTGGGGGCACCGCCTTGTACCTATGCAAAACCACATAAATAAAGATATGTACCTAAATGATCATACATGCATGTACATCCATAAATAAATACACGCATAATAACAGTCGGTATGAGTCAAAATTGCCAGCGCCTCGACATGGGGTTGTTGAAGATACCACAAGTTCACCATATGCATATTTCAACCCTGTATCTATCAAATCTATCATCTATTGCTCACCGATCTTTTCCAGTTTCTGGTGAAAATATTGAAAATGTGGCACCAGTTTTGTCCCCATCAGTCTTCGCATCATATTTTGACCGGTAATGACCGGTACAGTAAATCGATACCTCTCTCCAAGAACTATAGCCCCGCATTTAAGCCATGAATATCGGCCCCCGACCAATAAACCCTGACTGTTGAATTCGAAGGGTTAATATGGGTTCACCACCAAATTGGGGCAACGTATTCCTAAAGTTGCTACCCAAATCACTAAAGGGTTACCATCTGGTGATGACTAGCATTGCATTGGAAAATCACCATGCTATTAATAGGTAAACCATTTAACCATTTATAAATGGGTCATTTCCCATGGCTATGTTAAATAACCAGAGGGTAACATTCAGAGCCATTCCATTGATCAGAGGGCTAAGCCGAGCCCCAAACCTGGCGAAAGCTGATCCACCATTGGTTGCACGTATTCCTTGCCGCCTCAACACATCATTCAACTGTGAAGGATGACAAAACGATCCGAAACGGAAAAAATGTGGATTCCATACACACCAGCATATTTCCACAAATTTAGGCCATGACGGCTGACTAAAATAGATGTTCTTGAAGGGCCATGCCAAAACTACGGGTACCTGCAGTAGAAACCGTATCGCCAAGGGATTTACCATCGGAAAAATCCAACATCACCTTCACAAGCACACACCTGGTCAAATTGTAAAATCGCACAGGCCTGGCCTTTTGTCGGGGACGATTCCGGATGAAGCCGCCCGGGGCGGTTGTTGTAATTTGGCCGCTAAAGCGAAAATGGAAAGATTGTGGGATCAACAAACCAAATGAAGCGTAAGTTTATGAAATTGTTCCAAACCAAGGGTTTTCTTAGACATTGTCCTCCACCCGGACTCTGAACGATTGTAGGGCCAATCAAACAATTAACCCCTCCGCTAATTGCGGATCCGCTTCTGAGAGTCACAAACAACTTTGTCAACGTGTCCGTTGAAGAGGCAAGCACGGCTTACTGGCCCCAGAACAGAATGGCAGTTGCACAATGTTAGATACGTTGACGTTTCCGATAAGGAACTGGTGCATGTTCTCATTGCATCTAGGCCCTTTGTTTTCATTTACAATTCGATGGTTTTCATTGGTGGTTTTCCTCCCAGTTGCGTTTCTTGGATCTATGTCCTCTAGGTCATGCATCCATGCATCTGCCCATCAACTTCTGAAGTTTCACATTGGACAAGTTTTTCATTTTACTGTTTGGCTGCATGTTGCGCCATTAAATGATTGCATATTGGGGGCGGGGAGCAAGAAACGTTTGGTTTCGTGCTTCGGGGCACCGGTCTGCAATCCCTGTTGCATGTTTTGATCAAATCGCAGTTAAAAACACGTCACAAGTTCCAAACAAAGAATTTGCACGTCACTGTGTTGACAGTTTGAAATTTGGTCAAAATTGGTGAGAACCGGTGAAAAAATATTTTTGAAAGTTGGCGATGTTCATTTGATTTTTTCAGATCCCAAACAATTCAATGGACAACAGTTGTTTTCACACATTTTCACACGTTTAGGTGACCTCCATCTCGTGTTGTTAGCCCGTTGGAAAATGCAGGGTTTCCGCGTGCCGAGGTGCAGCGGCCAAAGGCGTGCAAATACACCAGCCTTGGATTAGGTCTGTAGTTGGTAGATGGAAAGCTGGCTGGCATCGCCATCTTTGAAAAAAAACGAATTACGATCATGAAATATCACCTAACCAAGCAGGCTCTTGTCTGTATCACAACTGCCTTCGTGTATTTTAATGAAAAATACCGAGAAAATGATGCTGGAATGGCGTAGACATGCTAAAATTGAAAAGAACACCGATACCTCGCAATATATCATGAGGGGCCGCGGGGTTACACATGATGTTCGTGTAGTTGTCAGACATTTCCCGGCGTCAGAGATCACCCAAAACCACCCCTCAGGACCCATTTGTAGAATATAGAAAATAAAGAATATATAGACTATATGGAATATGCAGAATATCAAGAATATATATATATATATACAATCTTTTCTAGTGTGATTTCTATGGTGACTCCGACATGGTGCCATGGACCCATTTGAGGGAACCCATTTGGGAGAATGCTGACGAACGGACCTGAGATTCACACATTTTAATCTGGTAATTCCGTTCCTCACCTTTTTTATTCTGCTCCATTCGTCCCTGAGATACCTCGGCAAATCCTCCTTTGCTCAAATGAAGCTGCACGGAACAGTCTGAAACTGGTTTTTATCACAAGACAGGAACGGTGTCGAAAACATGGCATTCATGGATCATGGAAGGCTTGAGGCTTCATGCTTTCAGGTGTGGTCTACTTTCTTTTGCTGTTTTTTCTGGTGAGGTTGAACATATTGTGCACCTAATTCATTTGAACTTGAAAAGCCATTCAATGCCCACTTGTGGGTGTGACTGGCTACCGTCCCCTCGATGGAAAAACGTACGACTTTATTTCTAGGAACTGAATCCCATTAATTTTTGTTGCTTCACCTTTTTCACCAACTAGTCCCCCATTCGGTCCCCTATTTCATGCGTTCTTCCCTCCCCAGGTAGGTTGGGTCCTGCGCGTTCCTAGGTACGGCAGGGTGTGTGTGTGTATGGAACATATGAACAAATGTAAAACTTCTAATTTTTATTGTCAGTAAACGCAGGGGACACAGCATTTCACTGGGACTGTGTCCAACGAAGCTACCAGGGAAATGGGATATCCAGCTTGGCCAGCTGGACGTACCTGCAATCCGACTATTTCATTTTCGCTGACATGGCACGGGGCTAAGCCGAGAACCCCTATACCTTGGATCAATAATCTTGTTTCATTGCACATTGTGGGATTCAGTTCCCGACAGATCACTACACTGATCCAGTTCTTTTCTAGTGTGTGCGTGCGTGCATGCTGCGCCAAGATGGGGGACATCAGAATCGTAACAAAAAAAGTACCGACAACGGGGATATTCTCACCACTGCCTCTGATTTTCAGACAGTACGAATTTTTCATTTACTTTTGCAAAGACCCACCCTGCCAATTTCCTCCGTGCAATCCGAGTCAGCCAGTCTAGTTTCCGAGCCCCGTGTTGGGTTCTGAAATTCTAGTTGACATGGAAAGAAAGAACAGGAACTGCATATTTATGCCAATGAACTTTCCCCACATGTTGCCTGTACCCCAGGGTAAACGAACATCGACCTGGAAAACCAAATGTTTCCCTTGCAAACGATCGATGCATGGTGGGTTACTTGTCTGCATCTACCTTACAAACAAATCCAATCAGCTCCATTCAATGCAAATATATCCGCATATTCCTGCAATATTTGCCAATACTTACCAGGATTCATTGTTCGGCTTCCTATACGCCCAGTCGTTGCTAACCATCTCGCAATGTTTGTTGAATCCACAGCGAACTTCACCGGGCGACGTGTGGCTGTGGCAAGCTCCAGGTGTCACAATTGCATCTTCCAGGTCCTGTCCCGGGGCAGTCAGAAACCAGTTGACGTACCATCCAAGATCTTACACCTCTGACGGGTTTTTAAGCTGAAAAACATCTTTGAAGATGACAAAATATACAATATCGTATCGGTACTACCAATGTCAAAATGTACAGGTCTAGCTGCTCTATATACATGCACACACATGTATATGTGTGTGTGCATGTGTGCGTAATTGAATCTTTGAAAAATTGGAGCACGCATTGGGACACACGCAAGCCCTGGCTTCTGAACAGTCCAACCCAAAGCCCCAATGGCTATTCATTCTCCGGAGAAAATCCTAAAAATTGTACCTTCATACGTGTGGTTTGTTGATCTGCTGCCACGATAGGTATTGCATAGCCAACCGTGGTGCAATCTGTGAATAATTCAACACCCCCTATGTTGTAGCAACTGGCGCAGGCTCGGATGCACCGCTGTTAACATGTGCGCTGTGGGTTGTTCTAATGCCCTTCTACATTCGGCAGGCTCGGACGCACCGCTGTTCACATGTGCGCTGCATGTGGGTTGTTCTATAAAATGTTCTTCTACATTCGGCGCGCCGCCACGTGCGCTGGGGTCGAAGAGAGAGGTTTGATGACCCATGAGGTTACTTGCGCTATAGCTGAATAGGGCCACGTAAGCAACTAAAACATGTGCGAACCCAGTTCCTACATGTGACCAAACACCTCCGTCCCACTTTGCATCCGGAAGGTGGCCATGCAGAACCAGGATAAAACAAATAAGTACACGAGTCGAGTTGGTGAGGACTGAATTGCACGTGGTCGCAGGCGGAACGACTCACCGTCTTTCGCATCACTTGCGAATCCAACGGGCCTCACTTACGTCACCAGAAAGATTCAAGCGCGACGCAAGGCAGAATCACTTGCATGATGCACTGATCATGGAGGGGGGTGGGGTGGGGTGGGGTGGGGTGATGAATCGCGATGATAACATTCATGCTCACTCGCACTCAGAGTTGCACCGCGCACTTGTGATGGGCTGGGGTGTGTAGGGCGGGGTGGAGTGACAACAACGTTCATGTTCACTGGCACACACAGTTGCACTGCACACTGATTATGGGTTGGGATGGGGTGGGGTGACAATAACTCTCACGCAAACTTGAACACACAGTTGCCCTGCTCATTGATCATAATTTGGGTTGAGTGGGGTGGGAGCTGCGTGAAAACAACGTTCATGGTCACTTGCACACACAGTTGCATTGCACACTGATCATGGGATGGGGCGGGAGCTGCGCGCAATTGCACTAAACATTGATCAGCGAGGTGGTAGCCACGCTATACTATGCTCCAGGCGTGCCACGCTTGAGATATGCAATGCGTGTGCTGCTACGCCACAGGTGTGCTTTATTGATCTTTATTGTGTGGTGTGGGGTGGGGTCGGGCAGTAACGCTCCTTTTGATAAGAACAGAAACTAGATGTTACACTGCAGATCTGCTATGCCATGCTTGAGATGTGCTTTGCTGTTATGATGATTTGAGCGATTCAAATTTAGATGTGAGCAGCAGATTTCTCTCGGAAATCAAACGCATAAATCATAAATCTTCACAGGTTGTCGGCCACACTCAGCCGGCTTCCTATGTCGAGGATTGAGGCCGAAAGCTAAAACAAATAAACGCCACCTGCAGTTTCAAAATCATGAATCTGTGATGGTGGACAACCCCCGCTGGCAAGCCACATTGCTTTTTTGCGAATTGTGTATGTGAAGCCATTAGTCAATTGCGACCAGCTGGCGCAAATCTTATTATAATTTCAGCCGGTTGGCCATCATTGGTATATCCAGGGGTGTGAGCCCACAACCTTGAACGATACCCTGGCCGACAAGGTCTAAGGTTATATGGCTTGATCAAACCTGGTGCCACACTGGAGACATTAGAGGGTTTCGGTAAAACAGGTTTCCAAATGTTTCCAACATTGGGAAACCTCTATTCTCAGTTTCTCGTTGTATGAACCCTTATTTGCGTCGTATCCCACGTACGCTGCGTCGCTTCATCCGCCAGCTTACAATATAGCCGCAGTTGCACCCACGAATTGGGGATACAACACCTACAAATGGAAATGGACAATAATTGGGATAAAATATTAATAGATAATTATAATAATGTAGATTGATTTAAAGGAAAGTAGGCGGTTGAACCACCTGGGTAAACCTGTCATGACAGATACAGATCAAAATTGAATAGCGCTGGATAACACTGGTCTGGTTTCAACACTGATGAAAAAAATTAGTCAGTTGGGGTCATCCTCCCGGCTTGAAAGCACCTACAATGGAAAGGGGTCCGAATGGGACCCACAAAAGCTCGTCATGCCATTTGTTGCACATGGGAGATATTGAAACATCTAAATCTCAAACCATGTTAATTACCAACCACTGCACGGGCCGAATTCTGGGTTGTGGCACCCCAATTTTGGGCCATGTGGTCACTTGGCAAGCACTGTTTGCACGTGCAAACACATGTTCATGGCAATGAAATGCATTTCCTCTGGCCAAAGTAATTCTGTATGTTCAATCACCGTTTCCCATAGCTACTTGCCAAGTGTCACATTGTTAGTCAGTTTTCGCATTTTCCCCGAGAGCGTCTCAGCGAAGGGTTCTTCTAACAGTGAGGGTCTGTCAAACATTTTCACATCTTCACATCTTCTCATCTTCACATCACATCTTCTCATCTTCACACCTTCTCATCTTCACATCTTCACATCGTCACATCATCACATATTCACATGTTCACATCTTCATATTCTCTCTTGCCCTCTTGCTCTCTTGCCCTCTTCTTTTTACTTCTTTTCTATTTCTCTCTTAAGGCGTGGGGCAGTGCCAACGAGACGGCACGAAACGCAAAACCCTTTCGCACGAAACAAGGTTGGATCGCCAAAAACTGAAGTAAAATTGCGATGTTACAACCTCGGCGGCAACCCTTTCGCACGAAATGAGGTTCGATCGCCAAAAACTGAAGTAAAATTGCGATGTTACAACCTCGGCAGCAACCCTTTCGCACGAAACGAGCTTCGATCGCCAAAAACTGAAGTAAAATTGCGATTACAACCTCGGCGGCAACCCTTTCGCACGAAACGAGCTTCGATCGCCAAAAACTGCAGTGAAATTGCGATTTTACTCGGCGGCAACCCTTTCGCACAAAACGAGCTTCGATCGTCTAAAACTGCGGTAAAATGGTACTTTTTGTATGACGGCATGGCATTGGCGGCCGACTGCTCTGATTCATACGTTTTGATGTCCAAACGTGTAGTAAAATTGCGATTTCGCAAGTTTGCGCGCAGCCCTTTCGCACGAAATGATGGTCGAGTGTCAAAAACTGAGGTGAAATTGCGATTTTGGAGGTCGGCGCGCAACCCTTTCGCGCGTGTGTGTGTAAAAGCTATTTTGTGTGAAAAAGGGTCTGTGTGTAAAAGATTGTAAAAGCTTTTGTATGTAAAAGCCTCTGTGTGTAAAAGCGTCTGTGTGTAAAAAACATGTTTTTTGTAAAAGGTTCTTTATGTGAAAGCGTCTGTGTGTAGAAGGGTCTGTGTGCAAAAGCGTCAATGTGTAAAAGCGTCTGTGTGTAAAAGGTTCTGTGTGTAAAAGTGTCAGTGTGTAAAAGAGGTTTTTGCGTAAAAGCGTCTGTGTGTAAAAGCTTTTGTGTGTAAAAGGGTCTGTGTGTAAAAGGGTCTGCGTGTCAAAGCGTCTGTGTGTAAAAGCATCTGTGTGTAAAATTGTTTGTGTGAAAAAGGGTGTGTCTGTAAAAGCGTGTGTGTGCAAAAGCGTTTGTGCGTAAAGGGTTATGTGTGTAAAGGCATCTGTGATCATCTGTGTGTAAAAGCATCTGTGTGTAAAAGCGCTTTTGCGTAAAAGTGTCTGCGTGTAACAGCGTCTGTGTGTAAAAGGGTTTGTGTGTAAAAGGGTCTGTGTGTAAAAGCGTTGTTGCGTAAAAGCGTCTTTGCATCAAAGCGTCTGTGTGTAAAATCGTCTGTGTGTAAAAGGGTTTGTGTGTAAAAGGGTCGGTGTGTAAAAGGGTTTGTTGAGCTGACCGAAATGTGCAGCACTCAGAATTCGCATCGTGAAATCACATTGCAAGTTGCAAATGTGTCGCATCTGCCACTGCAGCACGAGAAACCAATGAATCGGGGTTCAAGATTGCAACCGCCGCCTGGTCGCTACAAGTTGTGCAGGACTCAGAATTCGCATCGTCAGCAAGTTGCATCACCAAACAGCATTCCATTGTGAGTTGAATCATTAACTCATTGACTCATTCTTCCATGTTCTCCTTCAATATACTCAAGACGAGTCATGTCCAAATCTGATGGTGGCCAAGCAGTTTGTACAGTTTTTGCAATGAGAATGTTGGGTTGATTTGCACTGCAGCATGAGAAACGAATCAATCGTAGCTTTTTGGTTCAAGATTGCTACCGCTACCTTGACTTCAACCAGAAATGTCTGAGAAGCTGAAGGAGCTGCAACATGCCCTGAAAGAAAAGGAACCTGAGGGGCTCAGGACCCGGGCAGGAACCTTTAGGTTGGATGCATTGAGGTCTTTGGCGGCCGAGCTTTTTTTTGTCCGTGGATGGGATGACTTTGAAACGTGAGTTTGTGACCCTCGTGTGTCAGAAACTGGAAGTGCAAGCCGCGGTTCACCGGATGAGGTCCGTTACGCGAGACGGTGGCATGCAGTCGCTGCAGAAGCAGCTTTCAGCGCTGAAGATTGTTGAGCTGCGAAACATTGCCACTGAGCTTGGCGTGGTGTGTTCGGGCTTGAAATGGTTGATGCTCCTGATCAATGGCATTTGTTTATCCTGGCTGCGCCGAAGAAGTTGTTGATGTTGCGAGGAGAAGAGACTATTGGCATCTGCAGAAGACACAGCTCAAACATGCTCAAACTATCGGGGTTGCCATTACCCAGGGTAACCTGTGCCCCAGGTCTTGTAGATACGAATCTGACTTTAGAAAACAAAACTACAAAAGTGGAGTTAGTCAGGAAAAAAAACCCTACACAAGAATGTCCCAGTTAGAAAAAATGTTCCTACAAAAGTCTGAGGGTTTTACAGCCTAGTGTTTTTTGTTTTTTTGAAATAGCCTTAATTTTCCATAATACTTTTGTAGGGCCTTGTTCACATGTTGGCTGATAACTTCTGTAGTGAAATTTAGGGTTCTTTTTCTGGATGGTCCAAGGGCACAGGATATTTTTGTAGTGAATCTGGGGCTGTTTTTTCCTCAAAATATATACATGTTTATCATGTTTATGGTAGATATATCGAACTAGTTTTCATGGGAGTTATAAACCAACAAAAAAACAAAAGGGCCCTTCACACATATATAAAAAAAACATATCCCCATACTATCCTCACTTAATAAACCAACAAACATCACTAGGGCACCATAGTTCTAGACTTTCCTAAATCATGGGGCTACCCCTAAATCATTGATTACTGATTGGTTCACCAGATGATTTGTTGCTACATCTCCGGAGAAAAAGTGTATTCAAGTGTTGGGTATACCGTTGGGTTGACCAAATTTCAACTGGTGCAATGTACAGTGGTCTTGCCAAACTATAATTCACAAACTCTGGGAAAATCATGGGATTTAACCAACACAAATGGTGATGTGACGAGATCAAACTATACAAAATGTAGAACCAAGCAATATGGGGCGGTTTTTTGGGATTTAATGTGGGTTTAATAGGGATTCCCAATGTCTTAATAAATCTCCTCCCTCCCCCCGGGGATTGACGCTCGGCCTAGTAGAAACAGTTTGCAGCTACAGTTTTTTGGGGCCCAGCTTACCTACAAATTGCATTTGGCCACAATTTATCCACTACAAAAGACTCTTGGTTTTCCCAGTAGGTCCATTTAAGGATTCATACAATTTGAACAGTTTTGGTGGACCAGGCAGGAATGCCTACAAAAGTATCGCTTTCCTACAAAAACCGGGCACACAGCAAAGTAATTCCTACAGAATGGAGCCTTACACAACCTTTTGTAGGGGTCACATGATCAAGGCTTTTGTAGACAAAATGGTATCCCCGATCTCAAACTGGGTTGCAGCATCGCAGAATTGTCCACGGGAATATTTTCAGATTACAGATTGTCTGCATCCGAGTGGACACATTGCCACTCTTTTTGGGACAGAATTGTACAAGACTCATGGAGTGAGGGTTGTCGTGAAGCTGTAGGAGCTATCTTGTCCGGCTTGAATTTAGGTCACTACCAGTTTCGCGTGGAACCGGGGCAGCCTGGTTTTTTTTCACGGCCAAAAAGGCCGCGCCGACCTCAGCACGTGACTTACGAGCAGCGTCAGATCGCTGCAGACAGGCCAAATGAAATCACCAGAGGTGACAGATCAAGAACAGCACGTCGAAACAGCAACATACCCGATGCCAATCGGGAGCCTCATGTTTTTCGAGTCGCGCAGGATTTGATGCGATTGGTGCACAGCATGCTCCCACTTGAACGCATCTGCCAGACATCAGACGAGCGTGACAAGAACAAGTGTTGGGACCACTCCAAGGAAGGTGCCTATAACTTTGCTACTGCTGATCGTGTGGGCCAATTGACTTGCTTAGACACTTTGACGCTGAATGGTTTCATCCAGGCGAAGCTGGCAACAATTGCAAATATGGTTTGAAAGCAGAAAAGATTGTAGATTCAGAGATTGAAGAGATGGTTGCTGCCCAGAGCTGGACAGAACGAAAAGCAGGACGCAGAGATTGAGAAATTGTCCTGGCGTGTATCGTTGCGTTTTTATGGATTTGAGATGTCTGAAACAGAAATCGAACACCTGGCAGCGACAACCATCGCAGTAGCGCATGTGAGATGGCAGTGGATTTCTTCGTGGGTTGTCGCAGAGAGGCTGAAAATGTCTGCCGCAAGTTCAGCAGCAGCTTAAATTTGCAACGGAGGATACACAGTTGGAATTGCAACCAGAACTGTCTGAGCAATATCTCTGTAGCCTCCTGTAGGATCGCTAGGCTGTATCATAGCAAATGCTTGTTTTTGCTACTTGTATTGCAACCAGAGCTGTCTGAGCAATACTTCTGTAGCCTGTGACATACTGAATGCCTTTTTTTTGCTGTGCTATTTGATTTGCAACCAGAACTGTCTCACAATGCTGCTGCAGCGACTGTCATGTTTTGGCGGCGTAGAAAAAAGATAGCAATTGGTAGTGTCCTGAGACTTGATCATGCACATCTTCACCACAATGAATGGGCACCAGTCAACAAGATTTGTCTGAGACTTTCTCGTGCACAGTCGACGGTGAACGAAGCCGATGATTGCTTTTGCGTATTTGCGTTATAGCTGCCGGGACCTAGAAGCATTTCTCAGCAACTTGTTTAGGTCACGAACTTCATCCCCCTTCGGATTGCTGAGGTGGCCACGACAACGATGACTTCGCTGTGAGTGTGTATGTGTGTCCTGGTGTCTGTCTGCGTGTCTGTTTGTGCGTCCCGTGTCTGCCTCTTTGTGTGCCTGTGTGTCTGTGCCTGTGTGTGTGTGTGCGTGTATGTGTCTTCCTCTCTGTTCTGTTTGTGTGTGTGTGTGCGTGTGGTGTCTGTCTGTGTACCGTGTGTGTGTGCATCTGTGTCTGTATCTTTGTTTGTGTGTCTGTGTGTGTATGTGTTTCTTTGCTGTCTGTCTCTGTCGGTCTCTCAAATTTTGTGTCTATCTTTGTCTGCTTCTGCTTAGAATCCGACATAGCATTTCTATCTCCTTTCTGCTGATCATCTGCATCATCTTCAATGAAGCTTTCACCTACAATGTCTTTGATGCTACTTACATGAGAGTAACATGCTCTTCTACGCTCTCGGGCCATCCATCGTCTCATTGTATAGCACCCCCGCAGAAGATCGAAACGTGTTTCCAGAATGGTACTTCGATGATATTTACCAGTTTTTCCAGATTTTATTCTTGACTGGGGATTACTATCAGTCAACTCTCAACCATTTTCAACTATGAGCACTTATTAACAATTATTCCATTATTAACCATCATTTTTCCACGAAATTCCACTATTTTACCACTTCAGCTTGCTGCGCCTCCTCGCTCCAGACCGGTGCCGAGGGATCCCAGCGCGGCTCCTGAAGCTCTTTGGGTAAAGTAACAGTTCGGTGTGGACCATTTGTAGATTATTGTCCGGAAAACCAAAGGTTTTCCACACAACGAACTGCTAGTTTACCCTTGGGTATCCATGTATGGATAGTTGGGCATTTCCATTGTGAAAAAGGAAAAAATCTCAACTATTGATCAAAGAAAGTGATTGATGACAAAAAATGGGATGGTCAACAATAAACAAGTTATTGTCCATAAATCTATGTGTCAATTTATTTGTCGTCTCATTGTTATATGAAATCCCTACTAAACCAGGGTTAATTCGCAATGGGGAGTGATTAGTGCATGAGTGGTCTGCATGTATCTTATTAGGATTCCAAGCCTTAGATCTTGCCAGAAGTAGCGATTCGCACCCGGCAACTCGGCTATATCGGAAGGCATCCCAGATCGAAGGAACCATCACTTACTAACTATTTAGTCATTGAGCTCATTTTGGTAAGAAAGTCAATTAATGGAATCCAAATATGTGCATGATCAAGGGGATTATTATTGGGACTTTAGCAATCCAAGTTTCATGCTGACCATTCACTGACCAGAAATGAAGACTTCATAGAATCCTGCACCTTAACCAACCGGCAGAATGGGTTCTTCAATCGGTGTCAGCTGATGATAAACCAGATGGTGCCCTGCACGCGCCGGGGCGAAAGTTTCGAAAATAGGAACTGACCAAAAGAAAGCAATGGCCTATACTAAAGTTTTTGCGATGCAGAAGCATAAGTTGCTGAAGTTGTGAGGTGCATCCAGGAATGGGCAAGTGGTGGTGGAGAAGCCAAAGAAATTTAATAACCCGTGCGCAACTCACTGAATGAATTAAGTAACCGATGAAAATCCAATGAATCAGTGAACCAATGAATCAATGAATGAGTGAATCAATGAGTCAAAGAATCAGTGAGTCAACCAAATCAGCGAATTAGTGAGTCGATGAACCAATGAACCAGTAAATCAATGAAACAGCGAATCAACAAATCACTGGATCAATGAACCAACCGTTCAATGGCTCAACGAACCAATGAACCAGTGAATCAACGAACCAGTGAATCAATGAGTCAATGGTTGGACGATTCAGCGAGTCAGTGGGTCAATGGTTGGACGGTTCTATGAAGCAACCAATCGGTGAATCACTGAGTCAATGAAGCAATGAACCAATGAGTCAATGATTCGAAGGTTTATTGAGCCAATGAATCATCAATGATTCATCAACGATATCATGAATCAGTGAATCAATGAGCAAAAAATCAATGAATCAGTGAATCAAAGAGTCTATGAATTACTGACTCAAGGAACCAATGAATCAATGATTCAACGGTTCAGTGAGCCAATGATTCAATAAGCCAGTGAACCAACGGATCAATGCATCAATGAATCAACTGAATCAATGGTTCAACGATTCAGTGAGTCAAGGAATCGCTGAATCAATGAACCAAGGAAGTAATGAATAAATGAATTTTGCCAACCTCATCCTCCAAAAGTGCTTCCCTCGGTATTTTTGCGATATTGAAGTGCAAAGCAATTGCTTCGATTCGAAATGCGCAAACCGAGCTCTCGCTACAGGGTGCGCACATTTTGCCAACGTAATCTTCCATAACTGCTCCGATCCCCTCAATTGTATGCGATTTCGATGTGCAAATCGAGCTCTCACTAGAAACGCGCACATTTTGCCAACATCATCTTCCAAAACTGCTCCAAAAAGCCACGGTTTTTCAACATGCCGAACTGCAAATCGAATTCTCGCTACAGTCCCGTGCACTTTTCGTCGACAACTTTGCCAGATCGAGGCGCGAAACCGCGGAAACAGAAACCCTATACATTGGCAACCCCAGGAGGCACATTACCTGAAGAAACACATGGTTTCGCGCCCGAGAATGTTTTCACCCGTGAATTCACGCGTTCCCGAACTCTTCCCTTCCCAACCACTTGATGATGGGTGGTTGAAATGATGATGTGGCTAACATGATGGTGAAAATGCTGACCATGACAATCATCCGTAACACCCGCAACTATAGTTTTCTAACTAAACTTCCTTTGGCTATCCTATCAGTAGTGAAAACAATGACTCTTCCCATGATATCCTACTAGCAAGTATATCCACCACTATTATCAGGACAGAGATCGTGGAAATAGGTCCCTCATCTCATGGTATCATTAATCCCAAATATCATCGCCCATTTTGCTGCTTGAATCCTGAATTTTCACCGTGAATCACCAATGTTTCTCAAATAGACATTTTTTGGTGGGAAAAAACCCAACCATGGTCCAATTGTCAAATCCCACTTGTCTCCGTAACCGCGCCTCGGCTTTACTAGGTCGGCCCTTCCGGCGTTGCCGCCACCCTTCTTTCGGACGCAGGGCGCCAAGGAGAGCGAAACCTCGAAAATGGCGACCCGGGCGGGGATGGATGTGGATAAAAGCGAAGAACAACTTGTCAACAAGTACAGCATTTTTTTGTCGAAACAAAACAGCTTTTTCAAGCCAGATTTTATTATTGGCTCAACCCCTATTTGTGAGTTCAGAGACTATTGCTTTTGGCTGTTGGTGATTGGTCACCGTGTTTGATGACATGCTGTCAAATGTCATGGAGAAACTGAAAAAGGTCAAACGAGCAGAACAAGAAAAGCATTTCAGCAACAAAAGGATGATTGGTAAATGTTCATTACGCACCATGCCCCTGGATGATACAAACACTTCCCTCCCCTAACATAACAGGTCCACAGCTAATACAATGTGTATGTGCGCGGTCGCGCGCGTGGGGGTGTGCATGTCATATTTGATTGTTTGTGCGTGTGCGTGTAACCTGTGATAACAAACAGGACCGCAAAGGGGGCAAAATCTGATGCTACTCTCTCCAACAAAGCTTTGCATCAGAGAGGGAAGCATCAACTGATCATGGATGTGCACTTGCAAATTCATGGTTTTCGACATGAGTTGAGGCGAACCCAAGAACCTACTTATCGCTTTGATTTGAATTCTTCAATCGATGGCAATTTTTTGGTTTCAAGTTTTCAGTCGACATGTACATTTGGAAACCTCAAGGCGTGGACAAGGTCAACAGCAATTCCACATTCCACCCAATCTGCACTTTGTGTGCGCGCGTGTGTGTTTGGAATGTGTTTGTTTATTAGCCGGAGGGAAGGAAGAAGAATCGCCACAGAAATCATGGGACACAACATGGGATTCAAATCGTCCAGCAAGCCGTTGCTGACTGGAGATCGATGACTAGAGTCTGATGCGGCGTTTACCAACGAATTTACAATCGGGAAAACCATGGCTAAGATTCCCAAGATTTTGTCCCGAAAATACACACCCCCAAGGTTCAATTGCTTATCACCATTGTTCATATGAAATTACACTTGTATGCGTATTCACCATTTTCAGTTATATCCAACTACACACATCTATCTATCTATCTATCTATCGATCTATCTATCGATCTATCTATCTATCTATCTATCTATATGTGTGTGTGCGTGTGGTACAAACATTTCCATACCCATCACATGCCACACAAAATTTGTTGATAGTTAACCCATTGTTTTTAATGTTGGCCATATTTTCATTATTTTTCATGGTCTATACCATCAATTTATGTTAAAATTGCGGATGGTAAAAACTATATTGCTTTACGTCCGCATATCCCAAACACCGCCAGCTTCCCGAGCGAGCCACCTGCGCTCGGCAGCCACCGCTTGGATCCCTTCAATCCCGCCTGATTGTTGTGGGTCAAATTGTTCAGTCCCCCTGTAAAGATCAAACGTAGATAGCTAGTAGCTGGTTCGTGCTATTGAAACAGCTACAGATAACAGGTATAAAAAAAAGGTCATATCTTCACTCAAAATCAAAAAAATCGCTACCACATTCCCGGAAACAACATCAAAGAACAACATCCCAGCCTGAGGCGCAGCTTGACTGGCGCTATGGCCAATGACACATGGAGGCGGCCTCCCGGATCAGCCCCAGGCAAAACTATGCGGATCAGTGGCCCCCAATAGTCACATGTTATCCCTTCAATGAGTTGAAAAAATCGGGAAGGCTGAGGTTCATGTGGTTCATGTCACATGTCGTTATCACTCAGTTACCACGTCTAGCACCAGCAAAGGTATGTTTTTTGGGGATAAGGGCTGGTTTGCTTCAGTGGGACCTCCATGGGGAATGTGAAACACTTCCGGTCATCATTCCAGGGTGAAGCAGACGTTTGTTTCAAAAAAAACACCCACTAGCCTTATCTCAATGGATTGGTATATGGGAAAATTTACGGGAAAACCCCTAATATTTACTGGGAAAATCGATGGTTTCCGGTTAAGGTTTTCCCTTAAACCAATCCATTGATTATCCCCAAGAACCAAATCAAAACAATATTAGGTTTGTCTGGATTTTCGAAACCAAGCTGCACATCATATGAACAATGGTATTCCCAAGATTATCTTGGCACTCTTGGATGTTCAAAAGACAATGCCAAGCTTGGATGCCCTGCCCTGCGAACAATCAACTTCTAGCTGCTTAGCACACATATCGCCAGTTGCTTTGCTGTCTAAAACATGTGATTAGTGTAGCCCCTGCACCGTCCTAATTCCTATCTTAAGTAACTCTTCCACTTGAGCCATGCAAAATACACGTATCCCATTTCACCAAAAGCTCGCTGGTTCTTGGAAGATTCAGATGAATCAAACTTCCCAAAGTGAGTTTAAATTTCAAAGCCGCCATGTAGCCGATCAGCAATGCTATGTTTAGTGCCTTAATTGGTATCAGAAAAATGGTTCCGCCTCGTGCGTGAGAGGCCATGGCCATGGCGCAACTCCCCGTGTCCGCGGGCCATGGCATAACTCGTCAAAGCCATGGCCAAGCGAAATGGTGAAAAAAGATCCGAGATGCAGAAAAATGTCATTTTTCTGGGAAAAGAACAACATCTTTAAATGCATGCGCACATATCTAATTAATAAAGACATGTGTAATCATCATGTGTATGTATAAGCTGACATAGATTTAAAAGTATATTTAAAGATATGGAAAACTAGAGCGTTGACAATGATATCTTGGGTTCTTTCAGCTATGCTAGGGGTAAATATTTCCGTTGTGCACGCAGCTTGGTAGAGTACGACAACATGGCTTGGCAAATGTCCCGGTAAATTTGGATTATAGTCGCATCACTTGATGAATGAGTTGTTGGAGACGAACTATTCTTTTTTTTGTGTTGGGCGATGCGAAAGCTCAGGACTTTTGCCAGCCCCTGAGCAGCCATTGATATCTTTCCAATCAAAGGATGCAACACGTCACAATCCTAGTCCTGGAATGAGAAAATCATCTTTATGCGGGAATCCCACATTGGCCCAAATCGGATAGCTTTCACCAGCTTTTCTAATGCGGTGTTTGTCTCATTGGGCGCGTTCGCATTGGATTCTAAATATCCATGTTTATGTAACTGGTATCGTTTTAGTAGCTCATGAACCCATCCGGGTCGAGTAGACCCCAAGTTCACTAATCTCAACAGGAGCACCTGGCTGCTCTTGAACCCGTGTCAACTTGACTTAAGATGCACATGTACAGTATGCATTTCTTGCATGGCCATAATGATATATAAGATGACTACATAATACATGTGAATCATTGGAATGTAGCTATGCAGGCTATGCATATGGCAAGGAATATCACCAGGCCCACCAGGTCTGATGGTAGGATTTTAGTTCTTGTCATCCACTCTGTTTGGAAGCTTTCAACCAGTCAGCTTTGTGTCAATTGTGTCAGCGGAACATGTCAGGTAACTAAATTGAAGGCACCTATCATAGGTAACAACTATGAGGGAATCAATCTGCCCCAAAATATGGCTCTCTATGGCACGCAAAACTTCCATTTCAGAGTACCTGGATGAAGCATTCCTGCCATCGGAAACGTGCAGCCAGCGTACTTCTGCTGATGGCATGGGCACCACCAAGGCGCCAATCATAGTCAATTTTGGACACGAAAGTATGATAGTTCCCATCCAGTTGGTTGCGAGAAAACAATATCATCAACCAATATCATCAACATCTCCCCATAGTTTTTCTTCTTTGGCGCATGATATTGGGTAGTTTATGATATTGGTAATATTGTAAAACCATGGTAATATCTTCCAACTGGCACATCATTGGGGTCCATCACTTCCTTCTCCGCGGCCTTTTGTCGTTTCTTTTTTACAGCGACAACGGTGCACCCAAAGAACTGGCCAGCTCCTGCATCGTTGAATTGGAGATGTCGCTGGATGTCGCTAATGGTGATATGTGGCTTAAATTATGATCATGCTATATCATCCAAAAAGGTTACAAGACAGCGACTTTGTCACTCATGTTATTAACCAATTTTTCTTTTGTTTGGAAAACTGACACATTTCCTACGAAAAAAATCGCCAGAAAATGGCATCATGGGGCACAGAATTTCCCAGAATGGGCCTAACTTCCGGGGCTGGGCATGAGAAACCTCAAAGTCCCCGTAGCCCCGGTCATTTCACAACGGGGAAAGCAAAGAGCTTGGCAAACGAATTCGCCATTGAAGATAAGTCGAAAGCTGCTTGGTGGTTTGGAACATTTGGATTATGACTTTCCATATATTGGGAATGTCATCATCCCGACTGACGAACTCATATTATTCAGGGGGGTAGGTATACCACCAACCAGAAAGCCACAGCGTTCCCATTGCGTTCCTTGTCTTCGACCTGTTTCAAAGCCTCCGCCACGAAGAGCGCACAGCTCCGGCGGTACCTGCGTAGCTGTGTCGATCGGCTGGTGAGCTCAAGCACCACAGATGTGGATTTGAAAAGTGCTTCAATATTCACTACATGTAAACATTGTTAACGTGGTGCTCGGTATGTATATATCAAAACGTACGTCTATATGCTCATATGCACTGAATACATCTGCAAACTTAAGTCTAAACACATACATGCATATTCAATATATGCGTGTATATCATATGTCATATGATTGTCATATGTCTGTAGGGTAGACTTTGACAAGTAAGTTGACCAAGATTTGACCCATAGAGGACACCCAGATAATTGATGGTCAGTTCAGCACAGTTGCTACAAAACATCGCTTGAATCAATCATAAACAATCCATGGCATGTCTACAAATTACAAGTTCAGGTGCAATCACAGGGAGATACAGGCACGCAAGAACACCAGGCAATCACGTGCAACAAAAAATGTCACAATACAACATGAATAATTTGCAGTAATTACACACTTGAATCAGGATACTGTACATGCAATCAAGCTGATATTTTTGGTCATTTTGAGATTATTGCCCCTATCAACCGTCATATACATCTTAAAACTCAAAACCCGCATGAGCAAAACTGTGTTTTTTTCCCCGACGGAGCACCTACTGCCCAACAGTTTCATGAGGGCCCGGCCTTGTATCGACAACCACACAGTTACCTCCTGAAACAAGGTATCAAAACATATAAAAACTATTGCATCCCTAAGTTGAACACCACCAAGATGCCATGGGAACCACAAACATGTCGTGGCTATACAACCAACTTGAAAGCAATTGACGTGAACACGTTTTGTTGACCCCATCTCCCCAGTTTAAAGTACATGACCCAGAATTCCTCGCTTAGTATTGTGAATCTATTTTGGCCAAAGGTTTCAACATGATTGGCCAGTTGGCTTCTGCCAGAACGGGGCTAAGGCTAAGACTATCCAAGACTCAACAACCGCTGCAACCACCAGGCCAACCTCTTGTAAACAACACATGGTTGGCAGGTTTGCTAAGAAAAACACAAGCTGGTTGGTGGTATACCTACCCCTCTGAAAAATATTAAAGTCAATGGGAAGGATGACATTCCATATGTTATGGAAAATAACAGCCATGTTTGAAACCACCCACCAGCAAGGCACCATTTGGATCCAAAAGATGACCAGTGACCGCAGCCCGCGGCACTTGCGCAGGAATTGATGGTTTTTCGACGGTGGAGCTTCTGCAGCTAGCTCTTGATGCCAGTCGCGGAGAAGAGCCTAAACGGAAAATACCAGGATACAACGTGATACAACCAATCAAACCACCTTAAATGCCACCAAATCTAGACACATAGTCAAACATCCACTGAACATGTAGATTTCATCCAAACATCCATAGTCAAACAGACAACAAACAGGGTTTCGTCAACTCACCGGATGGTACCTTCAAACGTTTCAGTGCTGCTGGTGACGGAGGGGGTAAGGTCAGCCTGTGGTCCGCAGGATTCCTGCAGGTAACGCAGTCGATGAAAGATGATCATGGATTGAACCAACAAAAATCTCAGGGAAACATGGAAGACTGGTCAAATCCGAATAGTGTGAATAATAGTGTCAATTCTAATAGTGTCAATTCTAATAGTGTCAATAATGGTGTCAGATATTCTCATACAATTCTAATAGTGGCAATCCTATGATTTGATGGGAGCATGCTGAGAAAAAGGGGAATGACAGGGGGATATGTCTGTATGTATGTACGTATGCAGGTATGTCTGTCTGTCTGTCCGTCCGTCCGTGCGTCCGTCCGTCTGTCTGTCTGTATGTATAAAATTATGTCTGTATGGATGTATGTATGTATGTGTATGTATGCATGGATGTATGTATGTATGTTGGTATGGTATGGTATGGTATGGTATGGTATGGTATGGTATGTGGTGTGGTGTGGTGTGGTGTGGTGTGGATGTATGTATGTATGTATGTGTATATATAAATATATGCATATAGGTTAAAATAGTTTCAGGTTCAAACATCATTAATTATCAAACAACGATACCTCATACCATTGCAAAGAAAAACCTGACTTTCTTTTCAAATCTATCCAAGTATGTGTATATATATATGTGTGTGTGTATGTCTATACCTATAGATAGCTATATTCATGATGCGATATTGATATCATAACCTCTCGTACTTTAATACAGCTACAAAACATGACCCATTCATACTTGATTACCTGTCAAACAACAAGAACTGTATTTCCAAGATGTCAAAGATTATATGTCCTCCAGCATTTGAAAAGGTGTCTAACTTTTCTGTCTTTGGGTTGCCATAAATCAAGCACAACGATTCTGCCGCGGTGCTGAAAAATTCCCGCCTGGCCGTGTCCCTCCATTTTTCTGCCACTTCGCCTCATGGGACAATGGGACACCCATGGGACACCCATGGGACACCCATGGGACACCCATGGGACACCCATGGGACACCAAGAAAATCCTGATGTTTGTTGGAAAACCATCACGTGTGATTTTTGAGCGTCAAAACGTGTGAGAAAAGTGGGGTGACAAATAAAAGATATTTTTTTAGTGGTTTGGAACGGCAATCAATCAATCAATCAAAAGTAGAAATTCAAGTCACAATGGGGAGTGCGAGCCTAATGAATAAAGTACCAATATTCCATCACATGGGTTGTTATGGAAAATATTTGGCGCAACATTGATACCAATTATGATTTACGCACGCCCTCTGGAATGCCAATATGTTTGCCTGCATAGCTGACAATTCCTTGAACAAAAAAAAGGATAGTTCAACAGGTTTTGGCGTGTGACAATACAATAATTATATACAGTAACCTGGTTGGTGGTTGGCGTCACCGTCCTGAGAGCTTTGAGCTATTGGGCCGCATGGTCATCTAGCCGAATCAAGCCGTTGTGCTGCTGCATGCGAATAAAGGTGCTACCTGCCTACCTGCACGACTGGGCGACCTGGAAAATGCCATGCGAATCATGCGATTTGTGTTGGGTTCACGATCCGGATGATTGAATCCATCAGTGCCAGCGGCAAGTCATATACTCCTGTGATGCTAAAACCACGCATGTTGGATGAACACCAGAAAAAGAGCACAGTTTGGTTTGTCCAGACCCAAAGAAGTCAAATAAGATCACAAAAAGATTTCTTCATTGTGGTAAAGCCACTATGCTTGGTGGAACAAGCAATGACATTTGAACCCAGCAGGACATTCTCTTCGATAAACATTGCTAGTTATATCAAACAACGAGTACCTAGATTATGCTTGTCAATATTTAGTTGATGACCATCATAAGCCCAAAGCAGACCAGTTTTTTAGTCCTCGTCTCAAGAATGTATTAGCCTTAAAAAACGAACTAAAAACACTATTGCTACTGCATGGCAAACCCAACGTGAAAGTTTAAAGTAAGTTGAGGGCACTCATCTATTCATTGATGGTTGGTTGTACGTAGCCAAGTAGGTTCAAATAAACTAGTGCTAGTTGTTACGTCACTCACTATGGCAGGTGAATCCCAGTTTCTGTCTACTTGTGAATACTGAAGTAAAGATAATCCCACTAGCTACTATGGACTCAATAGAACTAGCTAATCAAAGACCCAACCCTCTACAAAACTAGCGAGTCTTTAACACAGCGATCATTCAAAATTGTTCATGGTCCAATCCCCTTTTCAAACGGTCAAAGGTGAAACCCATTGACATTTGTGTTCGTTACAAATCTTTAGTCTTGCGCGTTAAATTTCTATTGCGTCGCCTTCACCACCGTTTTTATTCTTTGGATACTAATTGTTACTTTCATGTGGTTGGGAAAATCAATTCATAGCCGGTGGTTGGGAATGCAGATGTGATGCAAAAAACCCTTAACTCCCTCCTAATCACCAGACAGTCAAGTGATTTCATGCCAACCCCGGATTGATGACTAATCCAGTGAAATCACAAGATGTCCACCATGAAGTTTCATCAACACCACGAAACTTTTATTTCCGGTGAAGTTTGTCGTTCTTGGTGGCTCAAGTTCGTTGAGCTAGAAATTTAAATTCGATTCACCACCATTTTCCTGCTATTTCCTGCTTGAATCACCACTAATTGGTGGTATACCTATACCCCTCTGAAAAATATGAGTTCGTCAGATTGGATCATCATCCCAACTATTGGGGAAAATAAAATTCATGTTCCAAACCACTAACCAGTGATTATTAACCATTATTAACCATCATTAACCATCATTACCCCATACTAAACCAATGTTCCAAACCACCAACCAGACCAACATTCACCAACTTTTCATCAGGAAACTCCGCCGTGCCTAGTTCCTCCTGCGACATCTCCAGAAGCTGCGCCGTGGCATAGAGCTCCCCTAGGTCCAGGACCTGCCTCGTCAAAAACGGTCAAAACGGGGTGATTTCACCGGGGAAAAATGGAAAAACCGGTGGTATCATGGGACTTTTTGGATGTAAAATGACCTGGTTGGTCATATACTACCAGTAGTACCGCACAAGGCGGTGGCGGAAGTTTCAAAAATAGGAAACCTATAGGAGAGCTTGGTTGTTGTGAATCACGGATGGCAGAGCGAAGTCACTGATTACTGAAAGGTGATTGAAGTCTCTCACTCTTTCTCTCTCTTTAGCTCTCTTTCTCTCGCTTTCTCTCTCTTTCTCTGATTATCTACCCACCTACCTACCTACCTACCGACCTACCTACCTATCTATCTATCTATCTATCTATCTGTGTATCTATCTATCTATCTATCTGTCTATCTATCTATCTATCTATCTACCTGTCTATCTATCTATCCATCTATCCATCTATCCATCTATCCATCTATTCATCTATCCATCTATCCACCTATCCATCTATCCATCTATCTATCTATCTATCCATCTATCGATCGATCTATCTATCTATCGATCTATCGATCTATCTATCAATCTATCTATCTATCTACCTATCGATCTATCTATCTACCTATCGATCTATCTATCTATCTATTCTATCCATCTTTTCTATCCATCCACTTGTCTATCAATCTATCTATCTATCTACCTATCGATCTATCTATCTATCTACCTATCTATCTATCTGTCTATCTAAGCTAATCTAAAATAAACTTATCTCATCCAATCTATATAATCTATATACTCTATAAAATCGATCTATCGATCGATCGATCTATCTATCTATCTGTCTATCTATCTGTCTACCTATCTATCTAATCTAATCTATTCTAATCTAATCTAATCTAATCTCATCTCATCTAATCTATCAATCAATCAATCTATCTATCTATCTAATCTATCTATCTATCTATTCAGCTATCTACCTATCTACCTATCTACCTATCTACCTATCTATCTGTCTATCTATCTATCTATCTATCTGTCTATCTATCTATCTATCTATCTGTCAACCTATCTATCTGTCTATCTAATCTAATGTAATCTAAACTAATCTCATCTAATCTATTTAATCAATCTATAAAATCTATCTATCGGTCTATCGATCTATCTATCTATCGATCTATCTATCAATCGATCTATCGATCTATCTATCGGTCTTTCAATCTATCTATCTATCTACCTACCCAGATATCTATATATATCTATCTTTCTATCTATCTATCTATCTAACTATCTATCTATCTATTTATCTATCTATCTATCTGTCTATCTATCTATCTATCTATCTGTGTATCTATCTATCTATCTATCTATCTGTCTATCTATCTATCTATCCATCTGTGTATCTATCTATTTATCTATCTATCTTTCTATCTATCTATCTAACTTAATCTATCTATCTATCTATATATCTATCTATCTATCTATCTATCTATCTATCTACCTGTCTATCTATCTATCCATCTATCCATCTATCCATCTATCCATCTATTCATCTATCCATCTATCCACCTATCCATCTATCCATCTATCTATCTATCTATCCATCTATCGATCGATCTATCTATCTATCGATCTATCGATCTATCTATCAATCTATCTATCTATCTACCTATCGATCTATCTATCTACCTATCGATCTATCTATCTATCTATCCATCTATCTATCTATCCATCTGTGTATCTATCTATCTATCTATCTATGAATCTATCTATCTATCTACCTATCTATCTATCTATCTGTCTATCTATCTATCTATCTATCTATCTATGCATCCATCCATCCATCCATCCATGCATCCATCTATTCTTTCCATCCATCTGTCTATCTATCTACCTATCTATCTATCTATCTATCTATGCATCCATCCATCCATCCATCCATCCATGCATCCATCTATTCTATCCATCCATCTGTCTATCTATCTACCTATCTATCTATCTATCTAGCTATCTAGCTATCTAGCTATCTAGCTATCTAGCTATCTACCTATCTATCTATCTATCTATCTGTCCGTCTGTCTGTCTATCTTTCTACATGTCTATCTGCCAGCTGGAAAACCAAGCTATTCTGCGAGGCCTTCCTTATTTTTTGAAGTTGACCACATCAAAAACGAAGCAATTCTGCGAGACTTCCTCATTTTTTTGAATTTGACAACATCCCAAACGAAGCAATTCTGCGAGGCTTCCTCATTTTTCGAAGTTGAAGACATCACAAACGAAGCAATTCTGCGAGACTTCTTCAATTTGTCAACTTGACAACATCAAAAACAAAGCAATTCTGCGAGACTTCCTTCACAAATGGAAAGTTGAGTGCAGAGCTGACAGCCTCGTACCAATGCGTTTTGCGATTTTTCCAGTCCACCTTTCGAAACTACTGCGCCTGCCACGAAAAAGTGATGCCAGGTCATACGAAGGGCTGCACCTGTCACGCAAAATCATCTTAGGAAATCGACATATCTGATGCTCCAAAATACAACCTCTCTCAGGAAATCAGCGCCCTCACCTCCTAACAGCTCCGATGAAGATGTCTCTTGTACTGCGCCTGCCATGGAATGGAAAATGCATCTTTGCAGATCCTCTTCAAATGTCCCACGCCTGCCATCGTTTTTGGAAATGCTACAAAACCCTCACGTTTGCTCCCATTTGACAGGGTGCACAATCCCTTGCGCCTGCCACGCGAAAGCACATCTGAACCTCCAAAAGTGCCCCGTACCCGTCAGTCATTTGCACTTTTGACTTTGACATGTGCTTCGCGCCGCAACGGCGTGCACTTTTTCGACATCTCAACTTCCAAAAGTGGTCCGAACGTGAGATGCTTTGTACATTTTGACTTCGAAATGTGCTTCGCGCCACAACGGCGTGCACTTTTTCGACATCTCAATTCCCAAAAGTGGTCCGAAAGTGAGATGTTTTGTACATGTTGACTTCGAAATGTGCTTCGCGCCACAACGGCGTGCACTTTTTCGACATCTCGACTTCCAAAAGTGCTCCGAGCATGGGGTGGTTTTAGCTTTTTCACTTGCAAATGTGCTTCGCGCCACAACGGCGTGCACTTTTTCATCTCTCATCTGGCCAGATGGCTCCGCACCCGCCGCTTTAGCGAGCCTACTTTTCGACCCTCCGGAGCCACAAATCATTGGAAAAACACAGTGTTTCGCGACTGTCCCACCTTTTCGCGCATCTGCATCTTCTTTCTTCTGGCTCTTTCTCTTCTCTGATCTTCTCTCTTCTGCTCTTCTCTTTTCTCTTACTCTTTCCATCTCTGCTTTTCATCTGTCCATATTGTCGGAAGTTTGACTTCTAAACTTCCTTCGATTAATCTATGGTTGATATTAATGGTTATTATATCGTTCATGATGGTTAATAATATTCTGGCTGGTGGTGCAATAGCCATCTTGAAAAATATAAGTTCCTCAATGGAAAGGATGACATCCCATATATGAAATGGAAAATAAAAAATGTTTGCAACCACCACCCAGTGATGATATTACAGTATTTCAACAGCAAAATTGGTCGGATTCTGTGTTCTGGAACTATGTGGCAAAAACAAACACATGGCAACGACAAGGGTTTCTGATGTATGGTATTTTATATTATCTTATGAATATCTGACAGAAGCGATTAAGCAAGTCAGTGAACCACATTGGAAGGCATTTGCGGGTTGCCTCCCAACGATACCTCACCTAAAAGAAGCTTTCTATAAAGACCTTGGTCCTCTCATGCGCATCCTTAGCAGTTCCTGCACGAGAATGGAATTCCTGTGATGGGAGCGAATCAGCTGATGCATCAATCCTTCCGGTTGGCATCAATCCTTCCGGTTGGCATCGTAAGTTGGTCGTCACACCCAACCAAACGGAAATAATGTGATTTTGGGGAAGGCTACTATGGAGCTTACAATTTGGCAAGGAAAAGCAGAAAACTAACCAAAAAAAAGCATTACCTACACAAATCCAGCAAAATTTCCATGGCCATGTCAAATCACCAGAAGGTAATTTCCCCTACATCGAATGGTGACCAGATGCGACCAGAGAAAGTCAAAACCTTGACCCTTTTTTCCTCAAGGAAACGCCAAACATGCTTACAGATGGCTAAGCTTGCTGATGTAAATTTTACTTTTGATTCCATTAAATAGCTACTAATCGCAGAGTTTGCTTGCGATATCAGCGGAAATCCCCGTCAAAAACCCCATATCTGGCCATCCTCAATTTAATTTGGTTGGTGGTTTTAACCATCTTGAAAAATATTAGTCAATGGGAAGGATTATCCCATATATTATGGAAAATAAAAAGTGTTTGAAACCACCATGCAGTAATTCGTTGATTATATCATATCACCACCTTGGCCCTCATTGCCCATTGCACCCCTTCTTCCGTAGCATCGCGAAGGGGGGCATTTCTTGTACAGTTGCGGCCTTAGAATCACGAACTAACTCCTGCGGCATGTAGGCATTTGATGGTGTAAATGTGTATAAAGTACGTAGGATGCAAGTATGCAATCATGAACGTACGTATGTAAAATAAATGTAACGCACCATAACTGCTGTAACGCAAAGCAATGCCATGCAAGGTAACTAGCAACCAATATACTGCCTGACTGCATGCAAGTACTCGTGCATGTACAGAAGCTATCAAAAAGGCCATGTTGCTTGCATGGATAATTAAATTTAAATATGCTGGAAATCTCCTGCCGCCTCTTTAATCGCCTTCCTGCTTGGCCCTCATGTACTTGTTTTTGGAAGGAAAGGCGCAAGCATTTGAAAAAGGCACAGATAGATTCCAAACTGCTAAGGTTTAGTGTCTTGGCTGCTGACCCTGTTCAACAGACGTAACCACATCCACCGATGTAGCAATATTGGCAGAACCAGCGCGACGAATCTCAAATGCGGGGGTCTAAAGATATTATCGCCCTGCTTCAATCCGTTCGACGTGATTAGGGGCCAATTAGGGGCCATCATTATTCCGAGGACCTTCGGCATTTCAAACTATTCGGCAAGAATTGACACATGATAAGTTGGATGAAGACAGCGCTAAAAAACGCATCTTTGGAGACAATATTCCTGAAAACAAAGGCAACCTAAGACTTCCATGATTGTTAAATGTATATTTAGCGTGCAGCAAGCACCACCGACTCGGGAATATATAACATATATAAAATATTATTTAGAACATAAATTAAAAATGAAACAACTATAATATATATATACATATGTATGCATATATATATATATATACAACTTTATAAAACTGAACAAAACAAAAAACATGCAATAAAACAAATGCAAAAATATGTTTTAAAAACAATATGATATGTAATATCTAATGTTTAATACAAAATATTTAAAAAGTATCAAAAATATAATAAATATGTACATATATACCAGACAAGGGGGAACATGAAGCACATATAAACATTACAAACCATAACATGCAATTACCGATCCGTATCTTTTAGAGAGGAAAACAGGAACATGTAACAGAGATTTGCAGTCAGCAAAGCGGATTGATGGAGGCTAGTGCACTAGCAGAACCTCAGACTCAGTTTGCGTCAAATGTTGACTGTGGATGACGGTGGGTCCCAACACCTGATTCACTGAAAATTGGTTCACTCCCGACCGGCACTTGCTTTGGTAGATACATTTTCCCAATAATGATTTCCAAAGTAAATCCAAGCATGCTTGGTGCCACCCTGCCCTGTCAAGGTGAGACCAGCCGCCGCTTCTGAACGTTCCAAGAAGAGCAACCTGAACGACAAGGGCATCCGGTGAGAATCGGCTTACCAGTACATCTCATTAGTTTGAGACAAAAAACGCAAGGCTAGAGGTTGGTTTATTGAAAAAACAACTATAATCAAAATTCCAAAAACCCTAGTGAACCTGATAAACCAATTTAGTTAGCTTTGGAGCACCACCTGGCAAATTCAAAATATGTTTTTCCAGTCAGATTTTGAATTTTCAAAAAAGCAATATGATTTTTGCAAAACTATTTACTTACAAACCTGAGCGCTAAGGAGCGCCTTTTCACTTGAGCCAAAAGTATCGGAAACGCAGGAATGCATTGGGCTCACCTGACTGTACATTATGGTGATATATTGCTGCAATTTTCAAATATTTATCAAATGTATCGGCTTGTTAGTTGTTTTAAAACACCATCCACAGGTTTGCGTTTGCCATCAAAACTGCTGCTCTCATCTACCCTGTCGTCGAGGACAAAACTTTAAAACAGGTCCAAAGTGTTCCCTGAGGCGGATCCTGAGAGAAGGTTCGGGCTGGGATTGCTCCAGTTCCCGTTTCGGCTGCCAACTTGCTCCAAACAATGAACGAATTCTATTTCAGACTTATACTATATGGGACGCACAAACCCGTTGGTTGCCACCCTTCAACTCGCGATGGCAATCTGCAAGTTCACAATTTCCATGCACAAAAAAATCACTCAATATCATTCAATCTCAAAAAAATCTGGTCAGCATTGAAAAAACGAGCCCGTATGAACAGAGTTCAGCATAACCCTGTCACTTGTTTATATTCAACTGTGAGGTGACATGGTCCTCAAGCAACCTTTTCTGCCTCAGAAAAAACACGAATGGCATTGATGAGGCCTGCTGCTATTGCCCCCGACACCGGCCTTAGCAATGCCTGTCGCAGCCTGTTGTCGTGCCCGTCATCCTCCACCATCATGGCCTGCCCCATACGTGGACCGGAGGCCCTTTCCAAAGGTCCCGCAGGTGGCATGACCCATCCCCAATTTGTATTTACTTGGTCAATCATTTGTTGGCTGCATCCCTAATTTCCAATAATGAGGCAACTCGTTGTTGTACTGGCTGAGGCTACGCAGTTTCAATTTTTGAAACCAATTCCAAACCATCCTAAGCCACAAACATTCCGTAAAAAAGTTTTCTTGCAAAGTAACAAAACAAACAACCTTGAATGCAACGTTGGAAACAGGCACCCTCCGCTAACCGGGCCGGGAATCCCGATTCTTCTGAAAAGAACAACATTTATACATGAATGTGTTTGAACACGGTGCATCCCACTGACTGGCTGCGAAAATCCCCCGAGTACCTCTTTTAGCGTTGCCGGCCGCACCGTTTGGATTAACAATGATGCGTTCACTATGCAGATAGTAATGCAGCCTCCGCCTTCAGAATCCTATAGTCGTTTTTCTTTCACATGTTGAAGCCGTGGTGTTGGTGGCTAAAATCCCGATAAAAATGAAATAATTTAATATAAGTTTTCCCTGTGCCCAACCACCCATGGCGCGCCAGTGGGGTCATGATCTCTTGCGGAGAGTTGTCCAAGAAAAATCCAAAAGTGAAGAGCTGCTGCTCCTGGCGCAGCAAGCCAAACCTTCTAAGGAAGACTCTCCATGATTCCGCATTTTCATGCCACAAGCGCGTCGTTTTGGATTAATTTCAACTGTCAGCTCCAGATCTCCGGGGCACTGCCGGGGCACTGCCGGATCTCAACTGCGAGGCCGGGAGGCCGTGGACCCGATGCCAGAGGCTGTGGGGTTGGGGGCCCGAACATGTGCCAGATGGATTGCCAAACAGAACGTCAGAACAGATGCCAGAAAGAATCCCAAAATGAATGCCTGAAAAGATGCCAGGTAGAATCGTAGATAGACCGTCGGAAAAAATGCTAGGTAGCATGCCAGAAAGAATGTCAGATGGGATGTCAGGGTATATGCAGAAAGAATGCCAGAATATATGCCAGACAGAATGCCAGAATAGGATGTCAGAATAGAATGTCAGGTAGAATCCCAGATAAAGTGCCAGAAAGAATTCCAGAATAGAATGTCAGATAGAATGCCAGAATAGAACGTCAGAAAATAAATGAAACTATGACAAAGTAGTGTCACGGTGGGGATCGCTGGAAGTGCATTTGGATCTCCGTTGGTAGGATTCTCCGTGGTTCCCCTTTTTCAGTGGTGGGATTGTGTTTCACAAGAAATTCCTTCTAGATTTGGTCTGCACGTGTGGCTTCCAAAAAATATTCAGAAGGAAAAGTTCGACATCAGCATCAACCCAAAACTAAAACAAGGACCAAATAGAGTGCCCATGAGAAACCGCAACCACTCATACTCATACCCAATGATTTGGTTGCTTGTGATTCCGTACTGCTTATGACTCTATACCCGTTGTTCGGCAATTGTTTTGCATTTCATTTTAACAACACCATAAAACACCTTCTGTCAAGCCAATGAACGAATCATGACATGCCGGGTTGGTTGGTACATATAGTGGCGCTAAACCCAATGGTGGCACAACTTGGAGGCCAGCCCGATTGCATCTCCAGCTCCTGACTTTGCTGCCCATAACTGATGGTCACTTCTTCACCCGCCTGGATGCGAACAGAACCCACGGTGACTTTTCAGGCTTGGAAAGGTCTGCGGTCATGCAACCTGGCCCCCAGGCCCTGCATGAAGCAAAACAATTCAATCTATTTCCGGTGGAGATGCACATCATACCACAACTTGCACACCGGGAATATCGTGAACTGTTGGGAAGTGAAGTGTGCGGGTCCGAATCTGACATGTTTGCTGCATGGACAAACGACGTCTGGTCAAAAAACAACCAGGCGGACTTGACCATTGCGTCAAACCCCAACCCGCACAATGACACCCTACCCCTGTGAACCCCCTATCTATTCCTATATATCTATTCAAAATATCCATCCAGTTGCCCATCTATCTCTTCAACTCTTTGTCACTCCACACCTTTTTGTCTATCTTTCCGTCTCTCCATTTGTTTCTTTATCTCTGTGCCCTCTATCATCTATCCCTCTGTTGATTTGAAAATCGATTCAGCTGTATATCAAAATGTAAATCACTTACATGTGCATCTTTGATTTCGACTGGTGTCTCCGTTTTCCTACATTGTGGAAAATATCTCGCAACAACACGACACTGTTTGGAATGGCAAGTCAGTCCAATTCTAATTATATACTTTGCTTCGGAAGGCGCCATGAACTGATATGAAAAACGTCAAAACCAGGTCACGCAGTTTTCAAAAACATCGGAAGAGGTCAGGAAACAACATATTCAACTGTCAATTTGGGTTCGCTTGCATAACCGTCGTGCACCTCCAGAGGTCGTACTGTAACGAGTTCAATGAAATCCCCGTTGATGCAGCAAGCGGCAGTGGGATCCTACAAGCTCATCAACATGCAACAAGAAACGACAAAATAATGTACTGGTAGGCAAACCAGTCATAGGGCAAACGCGGGTAATTATATAAACTGTTTCATGCGGTACAAAATAGGCATTTTTCAGGGACGAAGAAATTCCACCATATGAGGTGATAGGTCAATGAAAAATACGAAAGTGTCCGGGGACAGGTGTTTTTTATCCAAGGTGCATGTTTGCCTTTTCGCACGCTGCCTGCCCAACCTGGTGTTTCAGCGACATTTAGTGGTTCAGATTTATCCTATACAACGGTGACTTGACAAGAAAAACATCTTGAACATCACATTGTGAGGGCCATTGACATCGTATTGTTTCCACGACATTTTCCGCCATGTTTTGATTGGCAATTTCAATTCACATCTGTTCGTCCACATGGTTACACTGTGGCCATCGGTCAAGGCAGTCCGCCGAGCAGTTGGCAAAATCCACCAGTGGCACAATACCAATACTGCCATCCTGCCGAAGGAACCGAAAGCATGGCAGCTGAAGTCAGCAATAGGTTTGATTACAGTTTTCAGACAGCCTGAAACCAAAGAATTACATCAAGTTACAATTTTCACGCCCCGTTTTTATGGCAAACCATGTAGAGACGGACGCCAGAGTCACGAATGGTTGCCTCATGTTCCTGGTATGCCCTTGCCACGTCCACCATGAATGACCGAGAAACAAATCTCGGTGTTGAATATGTTGATGATAGTTACCGGTCTAGTATACCAAACACATGCAACGGACATGATAGGTTTCCACCATCAAGTATGCACACAAATGCCCGAAAAAAACGTTGTCATTTGCTTCATGCGATGCGTTCCCCATAGTCTTCGGTTCAAGACAAACTGCTGCAAGATCAAGTCAGCTTGCCTCGTCCAGACCATAGACCCCAGCCCTGCGCCGCAAAAAACGGCAACAACAGGCCAAATGTAGGAGCTCACCCTTGCTCACATTCATCCTGACTTGAAACAAGGCAAACCTTTTGCTTCAGTCTGACACAAAAATGCCTATAGATCAGGCTATGTCTCAAATGTTCCATCAGACTCCCCCTGTTGGAGGGTCCAACACCCAGACACTTCTTGATTTGTGCCTGTATGAGGCTCCAGGCATCTCAAAGTCATTTTGACTTTTTGCCACGGAAAATTTTGGACAAAACCGTGGATGATAAACCCTGACCTTTGTGCTCGTGCTGAAAAAGGTTCCATAGATTCATCGGGCCTGATCGTTTTTGATCTGCCTCGCCTCTCTCAGTCGCAGCGCTATCACCATCGGCGCTCGAAGAAGCAAATTGCTCAGCTGCAGCGCTAGAAGGCGCAAATCGCTCAGCCGCAGCGCTGGAAGAAGCACATCGCTCAGCCACAGCGCTAGTGCTAAGGCCCGGCTGTGTTGACATTTTCATGGACTAAATGCCTCATCACTGCACAAGCCCGAGCGTCTCGTTAAGAGATTGATGTGCTCGATGAAGCACCTGCAGTGCCCGATCGTGTGTTCCTCCCCAACGAAGAAGTGCTCACGGCCGCTTTGCGAGAGCCCGACTGTCTTGTCATACTCAGTGGAATAAAAGCCACACCATCCGTCGCACCAGCGCTTCCAGTGTCACAATCTACCTGAGAAGAAGACCGTCCTCTCGACGCTCTGCCTATATGCCATGTTCTCGTGCATCCTTGGTTGAAGAGACTCTAACACGCTCCATTGCCGTGTCATTCTCTTCGCTCATTATCAGATTCTGACGGCCCTGTCACCACTGTCACCTCACTCTTACGTCAATCAAGAGGCAAGAACTCATCTTCTGTAGATGCTCGCAGTCTCCTCAAGCAACATTGAGTGGCTTCGCACAGAAGTCGCCCTGCATATACTGTTCCCAACATCATCAGAACAGCACCAGTTACAAAGATTGGCGTCATCTCCATGCCATCGCTCTCATCCTCTTCCATGGCTTTCGCCTGAGGCTACCGATCATGATAGCTCTCATGGCTGATTGATTTCCATGTTCACCTCCTCCGCTTGAAGGACCACTTTCTTGATGTTCATCTCCATTTTAACTTGATGATCTGCGAGGATTCATGCCCAGATCCTCCACAAATCTGAAAAAGGTTTGGCCAGATAGTGGTTTCGTGAGGCCATCTGCTACAAGCTCTGTGCCACGAAGATGCAAAAGCTCCCAAACACCACCCGGAGCCACACCATCCAGAGCCTGACTCAAAAGATGTCGCGTCCTCCAAGTGGAGTTTCCTGTCCCATGCGCCATCGATATAGCAGCCATATTGTCGACGTAGATTGCCCGCTCCAAAGAGTTCTGCCCCACAGGCTATTTGAGCATTGGGCAGATCAAGGCTTCTGCCGAGCGTCCTGCGCACAATGCCTCATAGTATAGCTACCGAGCTCTGCCTCGGCTGTGAGCTGTGCTATATGTCACGAATGGCTCCTGTGACGCCGCCCAACTTATCGGAGTTCCGGCGAAATACATCACTAGTCCGGAGCCATAGGCTATGTCTGCGTATATCTCAGGCAGACGATCATCATGTTGTTCAATGTGCAGCTGTCCTCTTTTGCCCCAAGTCCTCTTGTGGAACTCCACGAGGATAATGTAGGCCTCCTTGAACTCCAAGTACATATTGCTTGATCGCCTTGGATAATATATCCATGGACTTGCAAGGGTTTTTGGTCGCAAGTCTGCAGGCTGAAACTGTCATGGCAATGTCAGGCCTCGTTCTTGTAGTGAGCCGAAGTAGGGCACCTGCCATGGATTGCGCCCATTTTATGTAGGCCTGCTTCATGTCTCCACTTGGAAACTCATCGTCTTCTGAAAGACGCACGTGTGGAAAATCTGCAGGCTGACCGATTCCAAAGCACAGCACCATTTCCCGCTCGTATTTCTTTTGGCTGACCACATAGCCATCATTGTCAGGGGAGCCGCTTAAATCTCAAAATCGCAATGCTTGACAATCTTGCCCTCCCCCGTTTTCTCCAATTCAGAGATTGCCCAAACTTTCTCGACAGCTGTTGTCGAGGCATCCAAGGCTCCACATTCCGCTGCAAAAAAAAAATAATCGACATAATAAACCGACATCAAACCAGTCCAATGGACCTCCCCGAGATCTTGCCCACCTCCTCAATCCTCCAAATGTTTTCATCGGGGTTTTCATGAGAGCGGCTCCAAAGACTTCTCTGCCTTCTCTCTGTCGATGCCAGCTGATAGTTGGCATCACCTCATCTCTATGCAGCCCCCAATCATGGGGTGAAGTTGTGAGCCCATACCCATACAACGCCTTATCCACCAGCCATATTTCTTGATGTCCCGCCAGCTGAAGCTTTCTGCAGGCTGACGGAATCTCCATTGCAATCAGGCGCTTGTTGTCACGTCGAGGAGCATTCAGAAAGGCTGTTCGGATATCTGCGCAACCGATCTGCCATTGTTTCAAAGCTCCAAGCCGCACCATCGTTCGAACTTGTTGGCCATCAACTCCACCAGCATAGTGTTCGTTGTTGTCCGGGCCCGCATCGTTACCACAGATCACAGCACGACTTCCGTAAGCACCACTGCCCGACTTCCTTGTGTGGACAATTTTTCCTGGAAGAATTTCTATCGGCAACTTCATTTCACTTGCCATCTTTTGGAGCTGGTCCTTCGTGATTTGCCTGACATTACACTTCTTTTTGACCAACTGGTCATACTCCTGCTGACTGGATGGCATCCATGCTTGAAAATCGGCCCAAACTTCAGCATTGCCGATCGTTTTGGTCACCAAAAACTCTTGATCCAGATTCTGATGTAGTTTCTGGACCTCTTGATCTTCGATATCTTGCAACCATTGTTCTACCATCGTTTTCATATTGATGGCATCTGTCACCGCTCCCATCCACCATGTTTGTTCACTTGAAGCCGCATCAAGGCAGCTCATCCCCCACATACGTGTTCAAATGGAGATGGAGAGTTCTGAGCGCATCTGGTGTTGCTTCTGAAGCCACCGGGTATGAGCAACCAGCCCAGTTGTTAGGCGCCTCCTCCACATCCCCAACTCCAATCCACCAGTCCTCCTCAAAGTCTACCCTTTTTGGAGAATTATCCGTTGATTCTGAAGTTGCTATTGTCCAGCCGTCAATCGAATCTCCATCATGTTGTGCCGTGGTTCAAACATTTCAGGGTGCCTGGTGACGATCTTGGTCCCCCCCTCGAAGAGAAACATCGAAATTGCTGGTTGTTGCGCCTTTTGTGGATGGCGGCTTCGGCATCACGTCCAGGGAGATAAAGAACTTGATCTTCCACACCTGGTTGTAGGGTTTCTGGGATAATGATGTCATCTGTGGGGAAAAAAACATCGCCCAGTTGATGTGGAGCAAACACAGTACCCCTTCCCTGACCTCTTTCCATGGGGCATATACCTTGCCTGCCATGACTTCCGCACGGCATATGCTTTTGCACCAAATCTCAACAAACGTCCCGTTGGCCAGCCAAGCAAACCAAGCTGACTGCGCAAGCGACGATCTCCCAGATGCGATGCACCCAAAGGCCATTACCGCAGTGTGCAAGTTCCAGCTGAAATCAACACCCGGATGGATTTTTTGATGACACCAGTTTCAGCTTCACAACGTTCATTGGATTTGAAAGAAGATCCAGACGTCATAGTGACCAAATTGCACTCCAAGGCCCATGCTGCCACTTGTCGTGAACAAATTCTCGCGCTCGATCACTGCGAAGGCGATAATGTGGAAGACCCAAGGCTCTGATGCGGCTGTACATCCTTGCCAAAGCTGGCAGCATGTGTTTGACCGTTCTGGGCTTTACAGGCTCAACAAAAGTGAGTTGTTTCAGCGCCACATTCTTTGCCGCTTCCACCATGCAGCCGATGCCCATGTGGTGTCGTACATCGACTTCGCCGCCTTGACATTTTTTTCCTCAACATCCTCCTCCATTCGTTCATTTTCCTCCGGTAGAAGTTGTTCATCACCAGCTTCATGTTGTGCCATGCCCTCCACCTCTTCACCCAAGCTTGGCAACGGTTGATCTTCCGCTTCATCACGTCCAAGCATTGGCAAAAGTGAGGCACCATCATGAGTCACTGGCAGATCGTAGCATCCGACCAGAAAATATCTGCATCCATTGGTCTCCTGGTCATCTCCCGGAGAAAGCTTGCCGGAGAGGTCAACACTGAACGTATAATTTTCATTAATTTTCAGCATGTTGAATTTGTCGATGAAGTTTGCTTCTAGTTTGAGCACGCACGCAATGTGAGCAGTCTCGACGTGCTGGTAGATGGTCATTGAGAAAATCTTTTTCCATTGCTCGAGAGCAACTGCACCCAAGGTTTGCACCGTGGGTTATTGATGTTGTTGATGTTGCACATCACTTGGAAGATAACCCATTGCGGTTTCCGCTCTATACCCAAGTGGTTGCAATGAATGATGTGAAAGTGATTGCACTGAAAAATGTTCTTTTGGTTGTTCCGGGCCAACCATGAGTGATCGTGGTGAAGAAGGTTGGGCCCCATACAGGTGTCTCTGGTAGATGAGTTTTGTTGCAATCCAATCTTGGACTTCAAACGGTTTGATCCACACGGTTTTTCTATACACAGACTTGGAACAGCTGTTGGATCAACCTTTGGGGCCCCATACTTTGACACACGCTCTTGATCCAGCATTTGCGCAGGCTGCTGGACCACAGTCACTATGGCAAGTGTCAGGCCTGGCGCCCATGTTGACCAAGTTTTGGAAATTTCCATCCTTTGTGCCAAGTCCATGGATCGAAACTGACCCGGGAGCTCTGCCTCATTGGAAGGTGCACCTCGGATCTCATTCAACTGCATCAACTCCAGGGCATTGGTCGCAAGTGTAGTTGGTTTTCTCTTGGCATGTCCCATAAGATGCATCAAAGTGAATGAACTCGATCTTGTAGGCTTTGGCAAACTGTTTCCATTCCCTCGTACGGAAGATGGGGAAGTACTTGTGTTCCTGCACATCTCGGGAGTTTCTGCATCTCGCTGGATCCCCTGGCTGTACTGAAGAACTGACTCGGAGGCATCGAGACATCTTTGAACTCCTGTGCCATGATGTACAAAGACAAAAAACGAAACATCAACATGGAATCGCCCAACACCAGCTTGGCATCACCCGCAAACAGCTCCGGGACACCATATGAAAACTCCTCCGTTCTGAGCAAGCCAGGACCACCATCACCTGCGCTGTCAGCGCGTCCGACACGGTGGACCGCCCAACAAAGCTTTGACCCTCGCACAAAGAGACATCAGGAAGCCGAACACATTCTTGTCGTGGAGGTTGGCCGGCATTGCTGTTGTTGTACCCACGCGCAAACCTCAGCTGTTGAAGATGAGCAATGCCGATCCCAGTAGCTTTTGTCAGGGCTTGGAAACAAGTGGATGACAATGTTTTTCGCAGTTCTCAATCTCCGCCGCTTGCGCCTGTTCCATGGAAGCCTGGCGCGAAAGTTCGCGGCCTTGATCATTTCCAGTCTCGGCACGATCTTTGCCATCACATCTTCCAGAAGATCTGGGAACTGCTGTCGCAACTTCACAGTCAGAGCTATGTTCAAGTCCAACTGGGATTCGTCAACCTCATCACGGCTTGTGAAGATCTTGTTCAGCACCGCCATCCGCCATATTCCTCCATTGATGAACTGTAATTAACTTGAAAGGCTTCCAACCATTGAAAGATAATCTTACCATCAGCTCCGGTCATAATTGCGCATCCATTCATCACCGTGATCTCACGACCTGAGCTTGTCTAACCGTAAGATCCCACCACTTGCTTGCCACACTTCACAAATCTCTCATGACAGGGCCAAAAAGATGAATCCAGTCTCCAACCTGCAACGGGTTAGCTGTGCTCGGCAGCTCTGGAAGGTCAGCTTTGGAACCGTTTGTTTCACTTCCGGTTTTTCAGGACAATGGAATCGAATCCACTCCACCTCCATAACCCCCACCGCCGTGATGCCGTGGTTCGAGACAAAAGCGATGTGAGCCTTCTGGATGTAAAGACGATGCAGCATAAATAAGCCCCATGGTCGTGGCAAACACCACGCTGTAGAGCACCCACTGCAGAGGCCCGATGGTCATGGCATAGACCGGGATGTAGACACGTTGCAACCGAAACCCGACTGTCGGGACATACACCACCATGAGCCCAACTGTCAGGACATACGCCATGACCTCGCTGCCAAGCCCGATCTTGTGAGAATACTTCACCACATCCACCCAGCAAGTTCCCGGGGTATACATCAGGATGAGCACCATTCAAAGCGCAGGCCCCATCGTCTTGAAGGCGAGAATCTCCACTTCCACCACGCAAGTTCCCAGGACATTCCTTAAGATGCAAGCCACCAGAACTGCTAGCCCGATCTCCATGACAAAGCTCACCTGGAAACGCTCTGCCGATCGCTTCGGCCAGATCCGGATTGACGCGCCCGGTCCGCTGGAACATCACCAGTTCCCCAAGTGACAGGCTGACCGGACCCCTGCTTGGATTGGGATTGAACACCAACATCACTACGTTGAAAACCACTAAGCCACTCCAGCACTCCGAATGGAGAAAAGGATTTCCATGAGAAACTGGTGCCAAAGTGTTGCGAAGAGACTGAACCTCCCGTTCCAGCCAAAACGTCCTAGCCTCACTAGGGGATGGTTCCTTGGAGATCCAGGGATCAGTCACAAACTGGTCCCACCTGTCCCCAGTTCCCTTCCCCCCTGGGTTCATCTTAACCTTGACAGCCACCTCCTTCTCCCTCACCCCACCAGCACCCCTCCACTGGTACCACAACCCAAAGTCCCTTTTAGGCAACACAAGGACATTGTAACCCCTTTGGTTGGCCTTGCCCAACTGCTTGTCAGTGGTTTGTCCTGCTCCCACATCAGCCTGTCCTGTTTTGCCACCAGCCACTTCTGTTTGTTGCCTTTGAGGTCCTTAACTTGGGCTACTTGGTTTCCATTGTTGGTAGCTGTCCAAAAGCTTTGTAGCACTTTCATTCACGACAGTTGGAAAAGGTGGAGCTGGTAGATCTGGAGGACATTGCGGTGGCTTTGGAAAATCTTCTGTAGGAAGGGTACCGTCAGGAACCCTGGTGCCATTTGAGTGTATCGCACAACTTTTTCAAAGCTAACCCCAGTCCGTGGCGTGTTTGAACCCTGACCATCCACACCATCACCGTCCCGCCCATCTCGCATGCCGTCCCCTGGAATCTCAACCCAGGATTGATTGGAACTGTCACCAGAATTGAATTGGGGTTTCCCTTGAGTTGTCGATATTTTCAAATTCCACCAACAACTGTGCATTGTGCTCCCTCAACTGATTGGCAAGCTCGATTTCTAAAGTTCGTTGCAAGCTATCCGAAGAAAAACCAGAACCATCGGCATGCTTATGCAGTCTTTCATCTGGCACCCTGTGACTTCAAATAGAGACCATCAAGAGCCCCACTTTCATTTCCTTTGCTAGGGGGTGTGACAAAACAAGCTGCCCTTGTAATCACTGAGCTCCACCACCCTTGCCAACGCACTGACCTGTGCTTCGGCTGACGTCTGAAACTGGCTTGACATCGGGCCCAGGAGATTGTTCTTGCAAAGGCGTGGGCCTTGCAGTTGCTAACCCAGACTCCCTTTGCAACTTCGTGGGGTAAAAAGGGTTACCGACAGTTTCATCTCGATTGTTGATCGCTTCCCCCGGTGGAGGCTTTGATGCAGCCCTATATCTCAGGTTGGGCTGCAAACCCTTGAAAAAGGGCGAACCTTTTGCTTCAGTTTGATGCCAAAATGCCAATAGATCAGGCTATGTCTCAAATGTTCCATCCAACCCAGAATCTGACCGTAGCGGGCGTTTCGACCAGAAAGTGAGCGATCCGTCGTGGTTCATCTCTTTCAATTTACCTTGAATTCTATCACCCAATTTCCCTTCAGTTTTCGGCAAATGTGCATCCATCACTTACCACAATTTCACCCATTTTTCACAAATATAATTTTGTTTTCGCTATGCACGATGACAACAACAGACAGTATCGTCGCCTTGTCATCAAAGTGGCCCTTGCCCAACGCCAGCGTTCCAAACTCCAGGGCGCTTGCAGGCGATCCCCAAGGAGGTTCAACACCGCCTGCAGGAAGGTCATTTTGTCAGCAAACATTTGTTTTAACAATATCCTGATGTTACATTAAGAATGGTGACCGGTCGTTTGCCCGGCCACCGATGATTGTCGATACATGCGTTTTCTAAATATTTTTCACCATCTGGCACATTAATATCAAAATTAAAACGAAAACTTCACCTCACTTAAAACACAAGCGATTTGGAATACAGGTTTCATCATTTGTTCGCAACATACAACGCTATACAACATCCAGTGTCAGCATGATTTTTCTCTCCAACGACACATGTTTGCATGACTGTACCTAAAAATCAACAAATAAATTAAAAAAAAAATAAATACATATACCACGATCCGGTTGACAATTTACAAGGCACGGCAAATTGTTCCACGTTAAACTCAAATAAAACATGATAAAACACACGACACCACACGCTACCAAACAGTTCTCGATGGTTCTTCTTCAAGGTGTGTAAAATCCTTGTTTTTGCCGACTGCAAAACTTAATATCGGATAATTAATGAAAACCATTGAGAACCTACCACAAGAGTTTTTTAAAACGTGCAGCCCATACCGGAACCCGCACCGGAACCCGCACTGGAACCACCACACCGAAACTTCGCGAACCACCGCAGAACCTGCGGAACCTCCCCTAACCTAAGCAGACCCCGCACAAGAACCTTAGCAACTTCCTAGAACCAGCCCGGGCCCCGCACCGACCCTTTTCCTGCGCGGACATGGGTGGACTTCAAAATTCATGTTAGCCCCGCAGACGGTATTCATGCTCCTTAGTAAGGCGCAGTCGATATGCACGTGAGTGGCGAGATGTTAAGAAAACGTGCTCCTGTGTCGTTCCTAGAAAATGAACGCGTTTGTCTGCTCAAGAAATTTGCGCGGGTTGCTTTACAATGTTTTAATTGATCTCATTTGGGTTTCCCTTGGGTACTTGACTTCGCCTGCCGGTTCTCCTCCTCCTTGTTGGCGAGCGCCTGCAAACAAGGCTGCAAAGCGGTGCCCCTCAACTCTGCCGCTGCGTCCTGGCCAAAGTGCTCACTTGCAACCCATTGCAAAATCTAAACAGCATGCTTGACTCACACGCGTGCGAGCAAAACGTGGGAAAAAACAATGCACACCTGATCACACTTGGATACTTATATTTTGAAGTCTGAATTTATTTTGGATGGTACGAGTACGTGTCGCTCTGGCACGGGACACTGCGTTCCAAAAATGATTTGCATTGTTTTGTGTTCTTTTTGGTTTCTGTTCGTGGTTGTCTGCAACGGATATTTTCTTTTTTGATTTGCTGTCCCACGACGATGCTTCCACCAACCATCGATAAAATCGATCTATCCCAACGACTCGCTCCAAAGAACTGAACCACAACCTCTTCGTGAAGAAACCATGGCAAACTGGGGAATGCCCGCGGCAAAGCCAGCAGATAGTCACGCATTCCGATCAAATCATTGCCTGCCATTGCGCGGGAACATCACATTGACACTTGTTAAAAAGGTCCCTTTGGCAATTCCTTTATTAATTGCGTTTCCCTCCAATACATAGCAACCTCCCCAAATAACAAGCAACTCAACTAGTAATACTTTAGTATCTGGGGGGAAAATGTTCCTAATAATCAAAACCGTGTCCGAACTTTCAATGCGTCGGCAGCAGGGGCACCGAAAGTTTTGACCCAGTTGATTTAGTTGAAGTCAACTGGGTCAACTGGATCCACTGGATTAAGTAGGTCAATTAGGCCAACTGGAACAGAAGTTTGGTCACTCCCGGCGCAGTCCAATTGAGTTAACTGGTTCAAGTTGTCGTGCCAACAGCTTCAACTGAACAGTTTCAAACCAACGGTTGCAATCAGTTGCACAACGATTGTTTGTCCTAGTGCAAACAAATCGCACGTGCGAAGACTAATGTTAACATGAAAACCTGAAACGTGCTAAAGGCCACCATAAATGTATGTCCTTCTTGTTTTGCCAAACCTTAATGTTGACTCTTTTACTAGAAAACAAGTAACCAACATGATTCGAACATTTGACCTTTCGCATTTTTTTCGATATGAAATCACCCCACCGCAGTGCACACCGAGAAGCAAAAATTACTCCACTATTTTCGAATAGCCACTTCACCATCGGCAAATCACTAAGGCACACATCGTTGCCCAAAAAAATGATCGAATTTTGTGACATGGTTTCAGAATTTGGTCGTTCTTTTGCATCCTGTCCAGTATATGTTCAAACATTTGGCGTGTATTGACCACACAGCTATTGGCACAACATTTCCTTTTCAATTTGTTATTTATTTTTTGTTTTTTCCTTGCGTTTTTCGATTCATTTTTTATTTTAAAATTGTGTCCTTTGCAAAGATCCTCATTGTATTTGGTGGTATCTCAAGTGACCCCGCTTTTCTAGATGGGACAAACCTGAACCAGTAAAAAACTTAGAAAATGAAAAAATGTAAAGTAACTTTCGGTTTTTTTTTACTTGGGTTATAATCCCTTTCCCCTATTAGTAAGCAACATCCCCCCCCAAAAAAAAAAAGTCCGTCTCCAATTTTAGAAATATTTGAGGTTTGCCAAGTTCATTTATAATTTACCCCTTTGGAAAATAACTTAGAAATGAAGCTGCCATTTCAGGGTTTCACCCCTTAATATGCAAAACTAGTCAGCCCCGGGGTGTTTTTTTATTCGGATCCGTCTTTTAAGGTTATTCCCGAGAGCGTCTGAGCGCAGGGTTCTTGCAATAGTGGGGGTCTGTAAAACATCTTCTCATCTTCACATCTCATCTTCACATCCTCTCATCTTCACATCTGCTCATCTTCACACCTTCCCATCTTCACATCTGCTCATCTTCACACCTTCCCATCTTCCATCTTCTCATCTTCACATCTGCTCATCTTCACACCTGCTCATCTTCACACCTTCCCATCTTCACATCCTCTCATCTTCACATCTGCTCATCTTCACATCCTCTCATCTTCACATCCTCTCATCTTCACATCTGCTCATCTTCACACCTTCCCATCTTCACACCTTCCCATCTTCACATCGGCTCATCTTCACACCTTCCCATCTTCACATCTTTTCATCTTCACATCCTCTCATCTTCACATCTGCTCATCTTCACACCTTCCCATCTTCACATCTGCTCATCTTCACACCTTCCCATCTTCACATCTTCTCATCTTCACATCTGCTCATCTTCACATCTGCTCATCTTCACATCTGCTCATCTTCACATCTGCTCATCTTCACATCTTCATCTTCACATCTGCTCATCTTCACATCTGCTCATCTTCACATCTGCTCATCTTCACATCTGCTCATCTTCACATCTTCATCTGCTCATCTTCACATCTGCTCATCTTCACATCTGCTCATCTTCACATCTGCTCATCTTCACATCTGCTCATCTTCACATCTTCTTATCTTCACACCTGCTCACCTTCTCTCTCACGCCTTCTTTTTATCTTTCTCTCTTAAGGCCGAGGGTGGTGCCGGCGGCGAGTCACGAAACGTCAACCCTTTCGCACGAAATGAGGGTCGATCGGCAAAAACTGAGGTAAAATTGCGATTTGACTTGTGCCGGAGCAACCCTTTCGCACGAAATGAGGGTCGATCGGCAAAAACTGAGGTAAAATTGCGATTTGACTTGCCCTGGAGCAACCCTTTCGCACGAAATGAGGGTCGATCGGCAAAAACTGAGGTAAAATTGCGATTTGACTTGCCCCGGAGCAACCCTTTCGCACGAAATGAGGGTCGATCGGCAAAAACTGAGGTAAAATTGCGATTTGACTTGTGCTGGAGCAACCCTTTCGCACGAAATGAAGGTCGATCGGCAAAAACTGAGGTAAAATTGCGATTTTACTTGCCCCGGAGCAACCCTTTCGCACGAAATGAAGGTCGATCGGCAAAAACTGAGGTAAAATTGCGATTTTACTTGCCGGAGCAACCCTTTCGCACGAAATGAGGGTCGATCGGTAGAAACTGAGGTAAAATTGCGATTTTTCCTGTGCCGGAGCAACCCTTTCGTCTGTGTGTAGAAGCGTCTGTGTGTAAAAGCGTCTGTGTGTAAAAGCTTCTGTGTGTAAAAGCGTCTCTGTGTGTAAAAGTCTCTGTGTGTAAAAGCGTCTGTGTGTAAAAGCGTCTGTGTGTAAAAGTGTTTGTGTGTAAAAGTGTTTGTGTAAAAGCGTTTGTGTGTAAAAGCGTCTGTGTGTAAAAGTGTTTGTGTGTCAAAGCGTCTGTGTGTAAAAAACTTTTGTGTGTAAAAGCCTCTGTGTGTAAAAGCGTCTGTGTGTAAATGTGTTTGTGTGTCAAAGCGTCTGTTTGTAAAAAGTGTCTGTGTGTAAAAAGCGTCTGTGTGTAAAAGTGTTTGTGTGTAAAGGCGTCTGTGTGTAAAAGCGTCTGTGTAAAAGCGTCTGTGTGTCAAAGCGTTTGTGTGTAAAAGCGTCTGTGTGTAAAAGTGTTTGTATGTAAAAGCTTCTGTGTGTAAAAGTTTCTGTATGTAAAAGCTTCTGTGTGTAAAAGCTTCTGTGGGTAAAAGCTTTGTGTGTAAAAGTGTCAGTGTAAAAGCGTCTGTGTGTAAAAGTGTTTGCGATGCAAACTATTGTCTTGCACTTCTCACTATTTTGTCTTGATACTCCTCTTCTCGACTGCCTATAACACAGCTTTCATATATCGTTTCTAATATTGCGTCTCCATACTAACAAGAGAAGACCCTGCTCCTCTACGCTCTCGGGCCATCCGTCGTCTAGTTTTTTTTTAAATTACGTGTTTTAATATGATATTAGGGAAAAGTTTCGAAATCAAATTTCTGGCAATACTTTAGTTAGATTTTAAAGGAAAAATAACCCATTTTGAAATGGGAAAAATATGGTTTTAAATTGAATAATATTCCTCCTAATAATAAACACAAATAAAAAAAATTGAAATGTTGATTATTTGTGGGGATGGTTTCGTATTAGGGGGGAGGGACTAATTTTCCAAGGGGGTTCATGCATGTTCTAGATATGTTTTGGCTAAACAAACAAGCACACGATGGTGTTACGCACCATTCTGGGTCCAGAAAATTATCGGAAAATGCAATCATAGGACCAAATAAAAGGTTTCCGCAAAATCATTTGGTTGAAAAATGGAAAATCAAACTTGACAAATGTTTTCTCTAGAAAATGGATTGCATAGCCGTTGCTAAATCAGGTAGTTCATATCGCTCAAAAACCACCTGGAACCATCGAATTGAGTCAATTTTGTCGCGGAAAAAATGCAGAAACCAACCTGTAATCCAGCGCCAACATAGGTGATGTTTTTCCTGTGTCGAAAATTTGTTTAACATTGGTTGACCAAGGTCTCTATATATATATATATATATGTATATTGTTTTCCTTGCCTGCTGTCATCAAATTCGATCTGAAATTGAATTTCATTGAGCGATTTGGGCTGCCAAATGCTTCAAGAAATACAGCAAGTTCGCAAGAAATGCCTCAAAAAATGCCTTAAAACATGGGCATATGGAGGTGCAACTTACCATCAGTTCCCAACTAGCGCCCAGGGGAATGATCAGGAATAGTATGAAACTGCGTCTTAAAAAAATATGAGACAGTGGAGGTCCCAACGTAACCCGTGTTTTCCCTTGAAAATGAACTGTCTTAACCCTTTTTGAACCTGCACTTTGTAGCCGTCCGGGAATCGCTAGAAAAAATCAAATCGAGTCAATTCTGTCACCCAAAAAAAAATTACTTGTATTGTAGCGCTAACGTAAATGATGCCTTTTCTCTGCCCAAGATTTGTTGAAGATTGGTTGGTCAACATTGGCGAAAATTTCTATTTTTTTTCCTGTTTGTTGTTGTCATCGGGACCGACATGAATTTGAATTTCTTCGGGCGATGGGTGTTGCCACAACTGTGTTTTTCAAAATGCATCAACGTACATTCCCAATTTAGGGGTAACTGAAATGATCCTCATGTGCTGGTTTAAAAACCATCACAAACTCGGAAAACAAAAACACACCGGTGTTTTGGGGGACCGGGCCCAATCATTTTCTAGATGTTTATGCCTGGTCTGCACATATAATTTTTCATATGCACATGGACACCATCAACCCACTACTTGTGCTCCAGAAAACGATCAGGAAAACAATGAAATCGCATCATTCAAAAAACACAGTTGTTTCGAGAATAGAATACCTAAAATAAACAATGTTTTCCCTAAAACTGCCGTAACCTTTCTTGAGGCCGGCACCCTTAATGCGCCCAGGAACCACCAAGAAAACATCAAATCAGTCCCCCGGGAACTAAAAACCCACACCTGAGCAAAATGATCCAAGGAATCCCGCCAAAAAAAATAATTGGAAACATCGACCTTTTCATGTTCAGCATCCCCCTGCACATTTACCAGGTGATGTCAGGCGTCAGGGCCACCATTTTGTAGGGGACCCAGCTGTTAACCTTACAGCTGTTAACCTTACAAAGTC